CTATCCCTGATGAAACAAGGAGAGCCCCACCCCTTCCCCAAAGAACCAATCCCCAGCATAGGTGTCCTTTCAGCCCGGCGAAATAAAATAGATATGTGTTCCCTGGTAAATGGATGGCATAAAGCCGTCTAAACCAGTGGCGTGCCCATCGATTTCTATCCAAACTGACCGATCAAAAGGACACCCATGCCCATGGGCCACATTCCGGGTACCTAACGTTTCATTTGCCCACCAGCGAAACCCTGAAAATTCTAGTGCTCACTTCCTGGCTGTGGCTCAAAAAACCGGCACCAAAATGGAACCCTGGTAAGTGGAAACATGGACCAAAACCTGCGTAACCCCTCCTGTTTAATTTTGAGCCACACCCTCCTGAGTAGAGGAAGCACCTCCAAATGGAGAACTGAAATGCCTGGAGAACGTTGTTTTTTGCAGACCCCCTACTAAAACTGAACAGAACCAAAACCTAAACACTTGCCGACATTCATGAAGCTACTAGACATTCCTGAACCCACTCAGAAACCCGGTAAATGTCCATGGGAAAAGGGGTCAGCCTTTCGTTGCTTGATTTGAAAGGGATGTTCCCCCTCCAAAAACAGCAGAACAGTCTTGCTTTGCTTGTTCCCCAAGTCACCCGACCCAATTTGTGGTGTTTCCGAAACATCCGTGCCCCTTTGGCCGCAAAGGGCAGTCACTTTGTTCGATGATTTATGTCTGTACAAAATGTGGCACGCCCTAAGCCGGATTTTCCTTTGGCTTCCCATTTTTCACCAAGGGCACCAACACTAAAGGCACACCATGTCATCCTTAATGTCCAACCCACGGATTGACCAAACATACACCAAAACCCAGGAGGCACTTGGCGATGACGGGTGCCTGATTGGGGTGTGGTGTTTTCTGAGACCCAACAAGTGGGGTTGGTTGGTTTAGAGCAGACCCAGCAGAAACCGCCCCTTTTCACCATGAAGGCGTCTAACCAGGCGGAAAGCTCAAGAAACACACAAAATGGAGCCCGGTGCCCTTTAATGTCCCGATAGAATGAACCAGAAAGCTCAGCTTCCCTCTATTTGGAGCCCCGGCTTCCCATCCCTCTACAATAGCGCGGGGTTCAAATCCAAATCCAAGCCACCTGACGGCTTGCCTGAAAAGCGTCGGTTACCAGCTCAAGGAGTTGCTCAGCCGGGCGCTGTCTCAGTTGTTCAGTGACCCTGGAAAAAAAAGAATTGGAACCCTTTTTTGGGCTTGGACCATTTTGGTGGGGCAGCACCAAAAAAAAAGGAAAAAGAAACACGGGGCCACTGAACAACCGAGCTGTGGACTTCGGTCAAAGCGAACCTTCTTCCGCTGAACGTAAAAAACCACCGGCGCGCACAAAGCGCCGGCTTTCTCGAAGGCTCCGACCGCACACCTCGACTCAAAAAACCAAGGCACTGCTTTTGGACCTTACCACGGAAACTCACAATGGAGATCCCGGAAATGAGCTGGGCTGTCCTCAAATCCCATGCTAAAAGTGAATAACTTAGCGGGTTAAAGACATGGAAACCCCCACTAAACCAACTAAAAGCAAATAAAAAGCAAAGTTGAACCGGACGGTTGAACCGCCAAGATTTCAGAGTCTTCAGAGGAGTTCAGGGCCCTCATACCTGATCCCAAGCAAACGACGACTTCTGAAGATACAACAAAAAGGGCTTCCCAAATTGACTAGCCCCCAATGTACAAGGGGAGATTCCCGAAGATATCACAGAAGTGGTTGGATAAACCCTGAGTGATCAACCACAACCCTGATTCAAGATAACAGCACATGGGGATTTTGAGCCCTTTAGGACTCACAAAGAGTCTCATGTCATAGGAAGTTCAGGTGACAGGCAGCTTGCCGCGGTGGCAGCTTTCCGCGTCTGAGGTGCCGGCGTGTGTCGCCGGAAAAAGGGAGAGATGAAATCTCAGCGGGGCGTCTCTCCGAGTGACCCAGTTGAGGCCCAACCCCCCGTTCCCTGGCCCAAACAAGAAAGAGACACCAACAACAGGGATTGTCGTCCAGTGACCCCACTGATTCGGTTGTAAGTCGGGAAGGTTGACTTCAGTTGCCCCATGCAAGTCACGCAACAAGAGCAATGAGCAAGCTTTCCCTTCTCTGCAAGGCCAGTTGGCCAAGCGACGAAGCAACAAGCCGGCCAAACGGCCCAACAGCCAAGCAACCGAAAAAGCAGCCAAACAGCCCCTCTGCAACACATGCAGGTTTTGTCCCTAGTGTGTGGGGGGGAGGGAACTGTGATTCTCCAAAAGCACAGGTGAGTCACAATCAAACCCCGGCACACACCTCAAAACCATGTAAAGAATTGAGAAGGCGGCGGATACCTCCCCCCCCCCCCCCCGCCACACACAAAAAAAACGATTTGTGGCTTGGATGGTCCCTCCAAGTCCCCCGGATCTTCAGCAAGTGACTCGGACCGGTCATTTCTCGGCAGTCTTCGGCTTAGATCCGATCCGACGGCCACTGAAACCACGCCACTCTGGGCGGCTCGTCGTCTTCTTTTTTTTGGGGGGGATCGGAGCCTCCAAACTTGGCGGACTGTTTTGGGTCTACCCCCAAGTAAAGATGTCTTCATGGCACACATGTGTGTCATACTCAAAACCTGGAAAACAGTCTACCCACCATGTAAAGAATCAAGCAGGCCGGGAATATCCGCACCTGTTCTGGTTGGGGCTTTCCTTCACTTGGTTGCTGTCGACCCCTCTGCGAAAAGCCTAGTTTTTTCTGGGTCCAAAGGAACATCCAAACAGATAGTGTCCAAAGATCCAAGGAAGCCATACAGTTCATCTACCCGAACCCTGTCAGTGGGGTGAGGCCCGGAGGCCCTGAGGCTCGAACCAGCGTCCAAGGCTTGTCCATGTCCGAAGGCACCTCCAAGAGACCAAACAACCAGACTTCGGGGGCTTTGCCTCAAAGCAGAAAGCCAGACTTAGACCTACAAGAGGTGAACTTGTTGCGAATTGAATGGGAAATCAAGGAGGCACAAAAGGGCAAAAAAACCTTTAAGGGTGGCAATGAACAGGAGCTTCGTGTAAGAAGGATGATTGTTTGGGCTCCATGGTAGCCGTGAAAGTGACACCCTCAAAGTCAACCAAAACATGGGCTGAATAACATCTACCACCAGAAGTGACATTAAAAACCAGCGAACACGATCACTTCAATGGACCCGGTGCCTGGGTTCAGGCGGTTCCAGAAGAGGCAAGCTTTGGTTAGGCGTGGGGTGACAGTTTACGATCCCTGTGCCAGGGGCCTATGGCCCGAAATGGACGTAAACCCACATGTGTTTTCCCGCCAGCACCCCCCGATCATGGGGGGTTTGCTTCTGCTTCCCATGTCCTTTTGCCATTCAAGAGAGGCTCTACTAAGCCTTAGTTGGCCGAAATAAGGCTCATGTACCCCCGAACTGTAGAGGTCATGATGCTCCAAGTGAACCTTCCAGTGGTCAAACATGGGCCCTCCCGCCCCTGCGGTTTCGTCCCGGCCTTTTGGGGTGGGGTGCGACGTGGGGTGGGGTGGAGTGAGCCTCTTGCTGGAGCCCCTGTTTGAAGGCCAACAAAAGTGGGTTCCAATCGGGGTCATTCGTGGAAATTCCCGGCTTCTGCAAGACCAACATCCAAGCAAAATGCAGCAAAGAACAGACAGCCGGGAACCACCCAGAGACACTTCCTCGCGCGCAGGCGAGCGGTTGCAGAGCTCGCAGAGCGCCGCTCGCCTGGTACACCTTCATCTCCCCGGCTGCGTCGATGGCAAAAAGGCACGCCTACGCGACGGCTGCGCAGGGAAGGCATGCACGCATAGGCAAATCTACGTTTCAACCAAATCAACTGAAAAGGACACCTATGATTGCCTTACTAGGGTTCAACCCCCTTTAATGGTTGAACCCAACGTATGCCCCCTTCGGAAACCCATTGCTTTAAGGAAACCTTGTCCAAAATCACAAGTGCGGAAACCAAAAAGCGGGCAAGTTGGGGGTGCTGGTAGGGTTCACCCCCAATGGGCCTTCATAGGTGTCCTTTTTGGGAAAATAGATGGCCTGGTAGTTGATTGAACCGCCAGGTAAACAGGAATCGCCCTCCGTTGTTCAACCAAATCAGCCAAAAAGGACACCTATGCATGCATGCGAAAAAGCGCCAGGGCGGTTTTGTTGTTGGTTGTTTTTTCCCGAAGTGCGTTTGTTTACGCTTGAGTTGGGGGTCAAAGGTTTGAACCAAAATGATTTTATCAATCGCTTGATTCATGTGGTCGGGTGGAACCCAGTTCAGAGGGGATACTCAGCAGAGGAATCATTCTTTGTTGGTTCTCCCAGGCATATCCATCCAAGGTTGAACTTAATCAGTGTTTAGTCAGCATCACGCACGCTTCTTGCTTGTGTCGAAATAGAGGCAGCCCCGACACGAGGGGGGGTTCCTCTGAACTCCCTTGAAACGGGTATGCCACTTCCACTGTTCGCAAGTGGAATCGAACTGCCTGTGTTGCGAGAGGCGTTTAATATCTGAGAACCTGGGATGCGAACAAGTCTGTCAGCAACCAGGTGCCTTTCCCAAAGAATGCTCTTTACCCAGACAACTAGACCCTAGCCTTCGGTGGGAATCATCATTTCGGGGTCCCAGATTTTGTTAAGACACGCCATGACCGTCGTTAGACCATTGAAAGGGTACTGTAGTTGGCAAGGGGCACCGGTCTGGTTTGCACTCCGAAAATGGTCCTCCCTATCCTGCAGGCAGTTCGAACAGTTCACCAATATCAGATGCATGCCACCCCCGAGCGATATCTGGTATACAACCACGATATCGGCAATACACAAACGGTATGAATATCCTTCCGTACTCATATATATGTAATATACCTATATATATATATACATACACACCTCCGATTTTCGCTTGGGGGCTTAGTGGTTTGGGCGAATTTAAAACCTCTGAAGAACCAGCTCGAGGGCTCCCGGGTCTCATCTTACAACGTTCAACACCATTTCACGTATCAGTTTTGGAGGAAGGGGCAATGGTCCTTGGGAATTTGTGTGTGCGGCGCATGGGTGCACTTGTCCGGTTGGTGTGAAGAGAAACCAAAAGGGAAGTTTCGCGCATACCCATATAAGTGGTATATACCTCTTGTGAGTGGTAAGCTTCATACTTCCGGAAATCCATCAGTCGATACACCATTCGCCCAACAGAAATTTGAGTGGGCGTGACGATCGTGGCAATAAATTGGGTCGTAGTCCGAGCCATATTGAAAAGAAACAAGATTGCCGCAGGCAAATGACATGAGGTTGGAGCAATGGAACAAGTGAACTACGCCTGTATCAAGAAATGACCAGCTGATTCAAACGACAAAATGGTGACTGCTGGAGATACCGGAAGAGAGTGCCAGAGTACAATCAGCTGGGCAAAATGACGAAGCAGGGAACAGCGGTGAAAGGTCCACAACTCCGTGCAATCTTTGAGGAATCATTCGAGACCCATGAACGTTTGGGTGTGCCTTTTTGCGGTGGTGGCTTTAAAGGAAAGCCAAAAGGAGACCCATGGCACCATGTTCGGGGGATCCGATTCAAGACGAGGGATCCCATGTGGTTGATTCAGTGTCCATATTGACCAACGGGGCCCGTTTGTTTGGAGCCTATGCACAAGCTTTGTCTAAAACCTGCGGCTTCTTGGGCTCCACCCATCTGTTTACCCAAACCTGAACTTCCTGTTTATTGATATGGGGGTGCGGGGCCCCTCCAGAAGCGGTCTGATTCCCCGCGTAATTCAGGGGTAACCACCCCCAATGAATAAACTGGGGATTGATATGGGGGGTCCCGGTTTGGGAACCTTGGGTCGTCCCCCGCGCCACTTGTCTATCCTACACCCCAGCTACTGCGTGAGCGCAGAAGTGTCGAGTTGTCCCCTCTTTGGGTGGAGACTTCGTCAGCAAGTTACGCAGTGGTAAATGTTCAAAACGTGCCAACCGGCGCCCGTTCGCCGGCCACTGGCCGCATGCACGTTTGAAAGCACTGCAAAAGAGTACCCCTAGGGTTCCTTGCCCCCAGTAAAAGAACGGCAAGGACCCAATTTGGATGACAATCCTGAACGGTGAACGATGCTGGTGACATATGAACCCAACCATTGCTTTAAGGTGAAACATTTGAACCCAACCCTTGCTTTCATCAGGGGACTGAACCCCAGGAAATACAAGTCGGACCCTATAAAAAACCAACGAAAAAACCCACCGAAACGAGCGAGGCCAACCCCCCCCCCCCCCCGATCACCCGGACCTCGAGCTCCGTTGGGTTCGGGGACCGCGCTTTGGTGTACACCATGAGAAGCCGCACCTGCGTTGTCAAAGAGCCAATGAGACATAATGAAAAGCAGGTATTAAAATGATCCATCCAAAGAATTACCAGTAGAGCCGGCGAAGCCGGTGGGCGGATGTTTCTAAAGCGAGGAGAGTGCCTATAGCAAGAGCTTGGCCTATAGTCATAATGAAAAGCCGCTGCAACGCAAGAAGCGGAGCTTTAACGTTCCTGGCACTCATACGCACACACACACACACAAGTGAGTCAAAATGAAAAGCTGGTATTAAAATGACCCGTCCAGAACCATGTAAAGAACTAAAGAGGGCCGATAATTAAAATGATCTACCCAGAGAAGTAAAAAGGCGGCCGTGTCAGTTTATGGCTCCCTTACTACCCTCCGATTACCCGGGTTTTGATTGTGGCTCACATGGCAAGAAACATTCCCCCCCTCAATGACCCCAACAAGTTGGAGCTTGGAAACGGTCAATGTCCAAAGTCAACTGCTTCTAGGGCTTGATTCAAAAAGGACTCAAAGTAAAAAGCACTCAAGCCCTTCCCCTTCAACCATGCCCAAAAAAGGGGGTCGGCTGGGTTGATTCCTTGTCCATTCTTTGCAGCCATCCTTCTTTTCAAACACCAGCTGTTTCCCCTTGGTTTGGGGTGGTTTTTTAGAAAGAATCGGATCCCTGGAAAGAATGGAAACGGAAGGTACCCTAGACTAGTGTTGGGAAAACACTGGTCCAAGTGACAGCAGCAGTGCCAGCCCTTCTAGCATACGGTGCACCCCCGTTTTTCTCAACCAGTTGAACCCGGCAAATAGGCTGACCATGAACTAGTCAGCTTAGAAAACAAACCGATCACATGCGGCTGGGGAACGATGGGAGAACACAAAAAGCAGCCCAAAGGCCATTTGGCCCGGACAAGCCGCTTGGGCACCAGTGTTTGTTTCCTTCAAAACGCCTAGCCAAGGAAGGGTGACAGATTTCTAGTGTCACATGTTGTTTCCCCAGCACCAGGAATGAAGTTCCTAGGCCTGAAGCAGTTCCTAGTCAGGTTTCCAAGTCAACCCCCCAACAATAGATTCCCTCTCTCAATGGAGGGACACTAAAGTGGGCTTCGGTTTTGAGTCGCGCTTTCCATTCAGCCCCGCATTCGAATGGAACCAACTCCAAAGGACGCACCCATTTTGAGTGTCTCAAACGAATGAGTGGCTTCCTCTTGCTCTCCTGTCAAAAGAACCCTCAAAAGGCTTTTTTCTCCTAAAAACGACGTGCCCCTCCATTCATGCGTCCGGCTGACAGCCAGAGAGTTGAGAACACGCCCAAGGACTTGGATTTGCGAGTTGCCCATCTCCATCAGTCAACGAAACGTACGGTGTGAATCTTAATGAGGCGTCCGCCAACTGATTCTACCCATCATTTAACTGGCAACGACGGAAGATGCTAAATGTTGATCCGGGCATCTCTTGAATGGCACCTCTTGCACCCCCAATGAGATTGATACCTCGCGTGTGCGTGTCATGATAAGAAGGATTATAGACTTGATGTGATTCCTCCCTCAAAAATGGCTTGGATGGCCGCGGTTTCGCGGCTCCACCGGTTCTTCGCTTTGTTTGATCCTCTGTTTGTACTCTTTTCAGCATCCTTTCAGGACCGAGTCACCGGAGCAAGCTCGTTCTGCACGCTTCTTGCATGCCAAATAAAACAGGAAGGTACGGTCCTCCAGTAGAGAGGTCAGAATTCGGGTGCCCTTTTTTTCTGTACTGGGGGACCTAGGAAGCCGTCCTCTTTCAACTCATCGAACCACGAGAAGGTGCAACTAGCCGTTGCAGCACAGCGCTAGCGAACTCCCAAGCCTGCTTTGGTCAAAAGAGCCAAGGGAAACTGTCTCCGACAAGGTCAATGACATCAAAACTTCAAAATCACAGGGAAGCACGTTTTACGTTTAGGTGGAGTCTCTTAGTAGAACCGCCCTGCGAAGCACGGAAGGTCACGACCATAGAAACTGATCGCCTTCTGGAAAAGGAGCTCAACCCTATGTTTCGTTGTGCGTCGCAATTTGCCAACCTTTGGAAGCATCAAAGCAATCCCAGGCAACTGCGCCAAAATCAGTTCCAGTCTGAACAGCATTTGCTCGCAAGAACATTCCGCCACGGGGCGGAAAACAAAATAGTGTACTTTACTAATGCTCGGCTCTTGCTATGTTGGTGAAACATGTCGTCCTTTGCAGTCTCGCCACGAACATTAAGTGCACCAAAGAAACCAACAACGACATGCCAGGAACGGCGGCATCCAACATACCACAAGACACAACCTGCAACTTGGCTAAATGAACCAAACTTGGTTGCTGTTGACCCCTCTGCAAAAAAATGACTTTTTTGTGGGTTTAGTGGAAAACCACTTGATTCCCGAAAAAGTTAAAGTCTAAAGATCCAACCCAATAGCAGTCAAGCAAACGAAACCGGTGAAGACAAGGGCGTCCAAGATCACAACTCGCCCCGGGCCTTTGGTGGCAACGCAGGTGCTTCAGCACAAAGCCTGACATGGCTGGTCAAAAATAGGTACCCAAAATGGCACCCTGGTAAATGGAAACGATGACTAAAACCTGTGGTCCAATTCCTGGTGGTTTAATTTTGACCCATACCCACATGCATACCCACATGGCTGTTCTGCCCTTTCCCATGCAACCGTGGCAACTGCTCGAGAATCAAGGTGCCACCATTCTACCAACAAAATACAAGAATATACCCTTCCTCCCACTGTGCCATGGCACCTGGGCTATCCTCAGATCCCCTGCTGAAAAGGTTAACTTTTGGCGGGTTAAATTGAAACCCAACCACTAAACCAACTAAAGACAACTAAAAAGCTAAGTTGAACCGGACGATTCGCTGGTTGAACCGCCAGTCGCTTAGAGGGACCATTTCCGTGTCAGGTGCCATGGCGTAACATGAAATCGGATCCAGAGCCAACAACACCCAGCCGCGGCATTCGCTCGCTCAGAAGGGCTCTCAATGTGGCTGCCTTTTGCCCTACCAAACCCCGGAGAAATGAGCCCGGCCCAGTCTCAGGTCTTCGTTTTTGCAGGGTGAGTCTCAACCCGTCCCAGTCTCAGGGGAAGTGGTTTCCCTCCAAAAGTGGTCTGAACCCCCGCCAAGAGGGGTTGCTCCCCCCCATCAAAATCAAGCAGAGGTCATTATTTGATCACAAAGCTTCAACTGACCTTTGCCGACCAAGTGCACAGGTAGCACCATGGTAATCGGGCTCCAGCTCGGCTCGAGCTAAACAAAAAGCTTGAGTGATTCCAAGTCAGTTGGAGAGAAGCTGCCCTGCCATCTTCAAATTGAAAATAGCCTTCTGGAAGATCCTTTGTTTCCCCTCCCCTCCTCGATCGTGGCTTGGTCCACCCAAGCGTGGCATGAGCTTTCCTCCAGTCGTGGTGTTCGTTGCTTTGGAGGTCAGGTGTCTTCCCACTGGGTCTGAACAGAAGCGATTGAATTGCCGGGTTCAATTCCACACCGGGGGGGGGGGGGTGTTTTGCTTCATCCTTGGTTGACAAGATGTAAGGTCCCTTTAAAACCAACAAGGGATAATAATGGAATATTCTTAGGCAACTGGATGTTAACCATGAGAAATCGGGTTTCATAGCATCAGTCACGTTCCACGTCGACCACCGGGCCACGAGTTTCCTGGGGCTCCGAACGTCCAGGCTTTCGCCGGATCGGCGATCCGGAACACCGAGCAGGTTCGGCCGTCGGACACGTTCGGCCTGCAGCGGGAATTCGGGTGTGTTTGTTTCTTGTTTGTTGTTCTTTCTTTTTTCGTTTTTTTTTTTTGTTTTCTCTCTCTGGAGTGAAGTGCGACGATTCCACACCAAACATGAGGGAACCTCAAGTAAAGATCCAAATTGAAAGGTGCAACAATTCGGAATATCTGAGGCTTCGTTTCTTTCTTGGTCGCCTTCGTTTTGCAGGGGTAAGAGGCCCGCTCCGAGACCTTTTCTAGTGCAAGAGAGACATGGAAGTTGTCTCACAATAGCAGACCCCCATCCAATTTGCTGGCTCCTTTTAACGGGGCTGTCCGTGCTCTGATCCCCTGCGAAAAGTGACTAATTTTTAGTGGGGTAAATGAAAACCCAACCACTAAACACACTAAACCTAAAAAGCTAAAAAGCTCAAATGCTAAAAAGCCAAAAAGCTCAAAAGCTAAAGAGCTAAAACGCTAAGGAACCGGATGGCTGTCCCAGCCGCCAAGTTATGGTTTCGTTTTGGAAATAACACCGAAAACATAAGCCAACTCCGAAGAAAGGCACAGCATTGTTCCTGCATTGTTCCTGTTGTCATGTTGGAACCGAAACGGGGGTCCCAAGCCGGTTCGGAGTGAAATCTAAACATGGCCGGGCAGGACCAGGTAGGCGAAGTTCACCATGCTTGCTTCAAGCAAATCCCAAAGAGCTCCCCACCCCCTGGTTTCCCAAGAATTTTTGAGGGTACTTTTTTTTTGCTGGCTTTAAAGGGAAACCAAGGCAGACAATCATTTTCGTAGGTACCCTCAAAAAAGACACACCCAGAAGCCTCTCTGCCCAGCAAACATGGAAGCTATCAGGCTGGAAGACCCCATACTGTGGATGGACGAAAATCCATTTCGAACCAAATGGAAACTATGGGATGCCACTGTTGGGTTGGTATTCACAAAGGAACCATCATTCCGATTTTTTTAGGTGGTGCAGCATTTCGTCCATCCACAGTATGAAGTTCGGTGCACCCAGGAAATGATGCTCAATATGTCACTACTAGTGGGCAACCAATCTCCATGCTCCATTGTGTGTGATGTGTTTTTCCCAAGAGAGGGGAGACATCCTTCCCACAATCACACTGCGTGACTTTTAATGAGATTTTTTAAGAATTGTCTCAATCAGGGAGGCTCGTTAAGGTTGCTTCTGCTGTGGGACACGGGATTGCTATGAGAACCGTCTTCAACTCAGGTTGCTCAACTATGTAGGAGTTGATCAAAAGGCCCTTTACACTGGATGACCATCAAGGAAACCACCAAAGAAGATGACGTTTCCCCACTAAACGGGAAAAGTTACACATGGTTATTTGAGGCCCAAGAATATTGATCAACCCCCATGTCCATGTTGTTGCAGATGAAGACAAGTTGTAGAATCAGCCAGGGTTCAGGTGTCCAATGAGCAATGGCTTATTATGTACTTCTTATTCACTCCCTGGGAATTTGGCCTTAGGTATTGTGTTGGGGTCCGGCGCCAAAGGAACTCAACCAACATTCGCGACTGAAAGGTGATGTGTCAATCAAATATGGTGACCCCTGACAAGCATTTGTGTCAAACGTGCAAGTCCCTTCTCGCGCATGATTCGATCTCCCACCTAATTTTGCCAGCTGGCCCCTGTCACAAAATCGAACCCTCAAACCCGTACGGTGCGGAGATCTCTTGGGATAAGTGCAGGCAATCAATTGATCCTCGTGAGGACTGATCGGTTTTTTGTTCAGGACTGGCTTGGAACTGGCAACTTCTGGATACCACTACGAATCACTAGGCCTGTCCAAAGTCCTACATAGTCATCCGCTGTCTGCAAGAAACCTCGGATCCACCCCCATATCTTTGCGAGGAACGCGACTTCCTGCAGGACCCCTTCAAGAATCTGGGGTCCAAGCCATGATCACTTTTACAGGGGGAAATCCAAACATTTTTCAAAGAAGGGTGGGTCTGCAAACTATTTGATACATAACTCTCCGACCCCTGGTATGGCAGCAAACATCCTTGTTCTTTTGCAGCCCACTAAAAAAAAATGAACCCGCAAAACCCTAATTAGTGATTGTTTTGTTTTTCTTTTCCTGAGAAACCCCCAATTAAAACAAACTGCCACGACCCTGGGGTGCCACAGAAAGCACCTGCTTCATAGTTCGGCAAGCAGAGGAAATGTTTATTTTTTTCTTACGGTTGGACCCCCGAAAATTGCTGGTTTTCCTGTTGGTGTTGCTTTAAAACCTCCGAAAAAAGGGGGGGTGTTCAACTTGGTGTTACCTTAAAACCACAAAAAAAAGGCGTGGCCAACTCCAAAAAATGACCCGCGCCAACCAATTCTGGAGACAGGAAAGGCAGACCCGGCGATCCATCCCGGCGATTCCCGGCGATCCCAGGGCTTGAACTCCACTGCGACGGCATAGGGCGTCCGATCCTGGCGATCCATCCATCGCTTCCCCCCGGGTCCCATACCTCGGTTGCTTTCTGCACCCCTGCTAAAAGTTTAACTTTTAGTGGTGTAATGGAAAACCCATGAGTTGGCAAAAAGCTAAAGTCCTAACAGCCAAGCAAAATGCAACAAAGATACTGTGGGTGGGGGCCCCGCCAGAAGTGGTCTGATTCCCCGCTAAACCCAGCCACTTCCAATGAATAAACTGGGGTTGATTGATACTGGGTGGACAAAATCCATTTCGCAGCACCTGGAAACCATGGTTGAAGCCATTGTTTGTTGGACTTTGCCGCGGGAATCGCAACCATCCACAGGATTTCGCTTCGAGGTGGAGCCTTTGGGTTCGAAGTCCCAAGAATTGAGCGCCTACGGGCGAATGTCTTGCTGGCTGTAACCCAAAATATCGCATTGGAGGAGCAAAGCACAGGGCATTGGCAAAAATGACGAGAAAGATCGAGCGCCTGAAGCAGGAGGGTTTGCTTTGAGACGTACCACAGTGGGCCGTCCGTTTTTTGATCCCTGCGACAAGTGACTCACTTTTTGTTGGTTACATTAAACCCAACCACTAAACCAACTACGAACAACTAAAATCCTAAGGAACCTGACGGCTGGGAACCGCCAAGATAAGATCCATTGGGAGGGGGGTGGGCGGAAACTGCACGGTCGTCCGCCGTTTGGGTGTGCGCTTTTTTTTGCCCGCTGGGTGCAAAAGATTGGTGGTTTGGATTGGTGGTTTGGATTGGTGGTTTGGATTGGTGGTTTGGACTGGTTTCGAGGTTAGAGGTTGGCTTCCCACCTTGCCTCAACAGCCAGTTCAAATCCGCAAGCCGCCAATCCAAACCACCAAGGGTTACTTGAAGTTGTTTTTGGTCAGGGTCAAACAAAACAAAACAAAAAACGCCAATAGCTAATGTCGACCCCGGATTAATAAACCCCCATGTTTATTCATGTGGAGGTGTCCCTGGTTTTGGTGGGGATTCATCACTTGTGCAGGGGAACACCCCCATATTGACAAACAGGTTGGTTTAGTAATCCGGGGTCAACAAATTACACCCCTCTCACCTTGGCTGGAACTAGGACCCCAGTTCAACAACCTCAATTTTTTGCCCGGCCGGAAAAAAAACACGAGCAAGATCCAAAAAGGGGAACGACTTCTGGGGGTGTTCACCTTGAGACGTGAAAACGTCCTTCCAGACCAGCGGCGTACACCGCCCTCCCGCCACCGACGGACGACGGGCCGTTCCAAGGCCCCCAGGCCGTGCCGTAGAAGACGCAGAGCTTCGCTGCTCGGCTGAGCGGCAAGTCCTGGCGAGCCCCAACCCGAGGCTTGCTCGCCCATTAAAAGAAGAATGGCCTGGGGACCCAATTTGGAGGATGGCAACGTTCAGGTAAACGACTCCCCGTCTACCCTCGGGTTCTGAACGCTCTGACAAACTCGTCCCCCATGAAAAGAATGCCAACTTGTGATTAAACAACCGTTGAAACAATGGGGGACGGTTGATATATATTTTTGATGGGGGTTGAACCCTAGAATGGCCTGGGGACCCAATTTGGAGGATGGCAATCCTTGGGAAAACAATGGTGGTTGTGTGAGCCCAACCATTGTCTATGAGCCCAACCATTGTGTTTATGATGGCTTAAAACCCTGGGCATATTGTCCTTTGGGGAAAATGGATGGCTTATGAAACAAGCGCGTCAACCAGGAATCGCCTTCGATTGTCTGCCAAAACAACCGAAAAGGGCACCCATGGTTTCCACCTCTCTGCAGGGACCTCCCCAAAGACTCTAACGAAGAGTTAGGGCCTTGTTTGGCCTTAGTAAGGCTGGTGCTTCGGATGCTTGAGGAGGCGGGGGTGGGTGGCGCCATACAAGACAAGGCAAGCGGGTCCATATATGGCTGTGGCTCAAGAAACCGAATTCCCAAAATGGCACCTCGGTAAATGGAACCAAAGACTAAAACCTGCGCCACCCGTGGCTCATTAATTTCGAGCCTTACCGGCCTTACCTACATGGGTGTGGACAGTTACCATTGACATGAATCCAAAACGGGAATGACAACCGAGAACACTTTATCACTTTCAAGGAAGTGGCCCTAAAGCTCAACTATTCACTATGGGTTCATATGTTCCATCTACTCTCCAATCCACTCACATCGAACCATGTGCCCTGGTTGGGTCCATTCGCCTTTACACACACACACACACCCAGAAGATCGTTGGCGGCCTCTTCGGTCCCTTCCTCACTTGAGTGGATTGCATCAAAAAACCCAAATTGTGAAAGAAAGTCTCAAAAAGCAGCCAAGTTCCGAAAACTAGTCACGGAAGCGACCTGGGTTTGGGAACTGGGCCACTCATCGGCCCTTTCGGAGCACTCCCGCCGATCCGCGAAAATGCGCGGCTCGATCCGGGACTCTTTCGCCTGCCGATCCCGGGGATCTTCGGGGAGCGTCGTCTCAAAGGCGACGTTCCAGGCCGCGCCGGGGTCCGGCACGTGGAAGACCTCCCCCCGGTCCCTTTTCTCACCTCCCACTCAGTAGATTGGCCAGAAAAATTTGGAACTTTCGTCAAATGTGGAATTTTCGTTGGCACTTCCCATCCAGTATTTTTGGCCAGAACATGCGGAATTTCCATTGGCCACTGGATTTTGGCTTCCCAAGTTCAAAGTCCCAAAAACAACTTTTCGCTGGCCACGAAGTTGAAGTCCAGGAGCTCAGGAAGTGAGTTTTGCCAATATCAAAGTCACCCCCTGGTGGGCTAAAGGGAAACCACACCGATGTTTGACAGTAACGCCTAGAAACAGTGAAAATAATGACCCTGGTAAGGGCTCGCCTTTTTCTTTGGGGCGGGAAGAGGGTCTCTCGAATTTCAGAAAGACCTTACGATGGTGCCCATTGGCCCTTTTGTGCTCAATGTTCTTCCCAGTTTTGGAGACTTCACTTGGAGTTTATCTCAGAATGTGCCAGGGAAGAGTCCAGTTTTTGCTGCGCCAACAATCAAAACCAAACCAAGGGAAAAACCAATTGTATTTGGGGCTGGACCAACGTTCCTGGCCCCCAAACGACCATGGGCATTTTTCCCCATTTAGTGGGACTTCCCTGATGGTCATCCCACGTAAAGGGCCTTTTGATCCCCCATTTCACAAAGGAAAAGACCTACTTCCATTCGCTTAAGTCCACCAGAAAAATAAGACTCTGTCCACCAGTGATAGATTCCTTCAAAACCAACAGGGCGAAATAAAACATATTATTGAGCAAATGGAAGCAAAGGAAACACTGGAAATATGTTGTTTTGTTCAGGCTGCATTTTTGTTGGACCCTAAAACTAGTTTTGGAGAAGACCATTCTTAAGCAGATGGAAGCCCATTCGAAGAACCCTTCTCGAAGACCAAACACCTCTAGGGTCACCATCTTGATTCCTGCGAGTTGTGTTTGTTGGGTCCGGGACGGGGCGAGGTTTCTTTGGATTACGTTGACCAAGGGTACTCTACGAATGAAGACCCTTGTCTATTGTGCACTACCATTGGGGCTCGCCCAATATAGATCATATGTATGTATGTAAGATTATATGTATGTGTGTACGTGTGTATGTGTGCATGTGTGTATGTGTGTATGTGTGTATGTGTGTATGTGTGTATGTGTGTATGTATGTATGTGTGTATGTGTGTATGTGTGTATGTGAGTATGTGCGTATGTGTGTGTGTGTATGTGTGTATGTGTGTATGTGTGTATGTGTGTATGTGTGTATGTGTGTATGTGTGTATGTATGTGTGTATGTGTGTATGTGTCTGCGTGCATGCATGCATGCATGCATGTATGTGTATGTGTGTATGTGTGTATGTGTGTATGTGTGTATGCGTGTATGCGTGTATGCGTGTATGCGTGTATGCGTGTATGCGTGTATGCGTGTATGTGTGTATGTGTGTATGTGTGTATGTGTGTATGTGTGTATGTGTGTATGTGTGTATGTGTGTATGTGTGTATGTGTGTATGTGTGTATGTGTGTATGTGTGTATGTGTGTATGTGTGTATGTGTGTATGTGTGTATGTGTGTATGTGTGTATGTGTGTATGTGTGTATGTGTGTATGTGTGTATGTGTGTATGTGTGTATGTGTGTATGTGTGTATGTGTGTATGTGTGTATGTGTGTATGTGTGTATGTGTGTATGTGTGTATGTGTGTATGTGTGTATGTGTGTATGTGTGTATGTGTGTATGTGTATGTATGTATGTATGTATGTATGTATGTATGTATGTATGTATGTATGTATGTATGTATGTATGTATGTATGTATGTATGTATGTGTATGTATGTATGTATGTATGTATGTATGTATGTATGTATGTATGTATGTATGTATGTATGTATGTATGTATGTATGTATGTATGTATGTATGTATGTATGTATGTATGTAATGTATGTATGTATGTATGTATGTATGTATGTATGTATGTATGTATGTATGTATGTATGTATGTATGTATGTATGTATGTATGTATGTATGTGTATAATTACACACCAATATGTCGCACTTACATATATATATATATGTCTATATATATATATATATATATCCATAGGCCAATGTTATTTAAACAAGGGAGTAGGGACCACCTCAATGCAGCGTTGGTAAGTACGGCTTCCGCACGGATCTTCTGTGGTTCAAAATGTGTGGCCCGAGCCCAATCCACAATCCCTCTTCGGAAAGCGCTGCAGAAGCGGCCAACAAAAAGCCGCTTCCATCAATTTCCCAGCGTGTAACCGGGATGAACTGTGCCCGGCTCGATTGGAATAGGGGGCCTGACAGCTTTGAAATTCGAATTAGCAATATCAGTTGCACGCCAAAAGCGATGTCGCTTACCAGCAAATAGTTGACCAGGTTGACCGATCAAAGGCGGCCTGATAAAAAGTGACAGCCCCCAACCCCCCCACCCCCCACCCCCCGACCCACCACCCCCCCACCCACCCCCCGCCGTGGCGAAAGAACGCCAGCCTTCAGAACACCTGATGCCCGGTCAATGGAAATCACGAAGAGGTGCTCGTTGAAGGTGAAGGACTTGTACCTGAAAAGACCAGTGGCCGTGGGAAAAAAAAAGGGGCACCCTTCCCCCCCCCCCAATTCAAAGAAGAGGGAAGAACAGATTCCCAACAAAGGGCCTGGATTTTAGAGGGAAACCGTTCCCAAACAAGGGAAAAGAGGGGGCCACTGGACAACGGGGTATCCTTCCGAAAGCCTTTCTCGCCCCAAAACGCTTCGGGGGGTGAGGCCAAATGAGGCCAAACGAGGCCAAATAAGGCCACTTTGAGCTTAGACCGTTGGGATATGTCATAAATCCCAACCTTCCAAGCTCAGAAATCTTCTTTGGGTTGGTGGACGTTGGGTACCTTCCCCATTTCGGGGTGTCTATTCTTGAGAGTACCCATCTTGGGTTGGCAATAAGAAACCAAAAGAAAAACGTGGCCACCCGAACGTTGTCAAAATGGGGAGGATACCCTCAAAATCAGCTTCAGTTTTCTTTTCGTTGCTCTTCAACCCAACCTGGCAAGGGTAGCCTCAACAAAAGCAAACCCATCTGGCTGTCAATGTTAGTGAGGATCCACCTCAAAAGTGGCAAACACGTGGTGAACTTGAATCCCCCCCATGATGTCCACCGTGTCGGGTCCCTTGACGAGGCTTTGGATTGGCGGTCACAGGCTACCAGCGGGGCCGCTTCGTAGCCGGAGCCCCTTGAGCAAGCACTCCAACACCTTGTCCCCAGCCCCTGCATCAAACCATTCAACGAAAAAAAGAAGAAGAAAAAAACAACTACCCTACCCAAAGCCCTACCCTACCCACCACAACATTACCATAGGTGGCCTTTTGGAAAAAATAGATGGCCCTGGTAAATGGAAGAAACCCATCTAAACCAGTGCCATCTATGTTTAATCAAACTAAGCTAAAAAGGACACCTATGAACATTACACCCCGACAAACCCAACAAACCAATTCCCAGCAGGGCCTCGTTGACGAGGAAGCTGCGGGGTTGCTGTGCAGCACCTCAGCTAGCGAAAACTTCCCGCGGGTGCAGGGAGGAGCTGCTTGAATTTCCCCGTTGGCCCTCGAATTCTACGGGCTAAGCAAGAAAAATGGAGCAAGGAAAACAATGAAGAATGACCACTTCTGGGTTATGAAGGGAAGGGGTACCACTACCTCTGGTCCATCTTTTCTATAGGTTAAGCTATGAATGTCCACTTCTGGGTGGCTACCCCCTGATTTCCCTGTAGAGACTCCCTTTGCACCAGAACAAGACCAATCGCTGAGTGCCATTCTGCTCAGGTTGTTCGCATTCGATGAGGGACTATCTGAAAGGAATCCAGAAATCGGATTGTTGATTCCACTGCCAATCACCGCTGTCCCCGGACCAAAACCCCCAAGAACACCCTGATTTGATGCGTTCCGGGCGGAGGAAAGAATGAATAAAATGGCAAACATGATGGGAGCCCAGGCTTCTTCACAAAAAAGCCACCTTTGATCGTTTCATAATGCCTTTGATAGGGGCTCCCCCCTTTGAGTGCTGGGTTCAGACCACTTTTCGCGGGAATACGACTCTGGCCCAATCGATCCGGCGAGAAGACTGGGTACCAATGGAATTGCTATGGAACTTTCGCCATGGAGTTGCGAAAGTATTTCTTGGGAATCTGAATGTTTGAAACAAAGAGACTCGACCAGGCTGCCCTTTTGATCCCCTGCTAAAAGTTTTTAACTTTTAGTTCTCGAAACCAGGGGAGGTTTTCCCTGGTACCTCAAGGTCTAAACCCCGGATCCCGGCGAGGTCAGCGGATCCCGGCGGGCCACTTGTCCAGAGGACTCTGGACCTGGCGAACTCCGAACTCCGGAACCCCTCCGAAAGGCATAGGAAGCAGCGCTCGTTGATAGGCAGGGAATGAGAAATGGGATGATCCCGAGACAAACCATCCAACTGGTGGTTTCCTTTAAGGGGTTCCCTCATTTAACCATCCAACTAATGGTTTCCTTTAAGGGGTTCCCTCATTTAACCATCCAACTAATGGTTTCCTTTAAGGGGTTCCCTCATTTAACCATCCAACTGGTGGTTTCCTTTAAGGGGTTCCCTCATTTAACCATCCAACTAATGGTTTCCTTTAAGGGGTTCCCTCATTTAACCATCCAACTGGTGGTTTCCTTTAAGGGGTTCCCTCATTTAACCATCCAACTAATGGTTTCCTTTAAGGGGTTCCCTCATTTAACCATCCAACTAATGGTTTCCTTTAAGGGGTTCCCTCATTTAACCATCCAACTGGTGGTTTCCTTTAAGGGGTTCCCTCATTTAACCATCCAACTAATGGTTTCCTTTAAGGGGTTCCCTCATTTAACCATCCAACTGGTGGTTTCCTTTAAGGGGTTCCCTCATTTCCTGCTGAGCACCAGCAAGTTGTCTGAACAGGGGTCCCGCATTTCCCCAAATCAAAAGCTGATCCATTTACTCCATTGAAACTTTGGGAGGTTCAACAAAGGGAAAGGGAGCAAACCGTACTCAAGGCCCTTTGTGATTCGTGAAGCTTCTGCGATGCGTCGTAACTCCCTCGAAACTCTGGTCAAAAAGTCTAAGGGTATCTGGGCGGTGCTCAGATTCCCTACGAACAGTTCCGAGTTTAGTGGGTTGAATGGAAACCCAACCACCAAAAACAACTAAAACAGAGGGGGAAAAAAAAACCAAGGTATGGCTGGGAACCGTCCAGATTTCTCCTTCACGCACGGAGCGATGCGGCGGTCCGTACTGGTTCCGTCCAGCTCGTGTCTGCTTGCCCGTCAAAGAAATGTGGCCCTAGTCAGAAATGCTCAAACAAGTCATTGATAGGGTGCATTGGGTCTGTCCTTTTGGAGTTGGTGCCCCTGTTTGGGCGGCTTTAAGGGAAACCAACGGGAACACCCCACCATTTTGGGCGGTCTGATTCCTAAACTATCAAAAAGGGGGAAGCGGCTTCGAATTGACAGCCAATGAAATGGAGCCTTGGATGTTGTCAGACACAAAATCAAGGGGTTTCCCATAAGACCCATCTAAACCAGTGGAACCCATTTACTTCTGTCCCCAACTATGCTCCTTGTGCCTAGCTGTTGACCTTCAAGTGAACCAGTGCTTTTCAGGTTTGAAGCTTGAACCACCCAGAAGCCCGCCATCGGGTGTCATTTGCAGGCGAAGACGTCCCCTTTCAAAAAAAAAATGCAAAGATGTGTCAAGTAGTGATAGCTTCCTTTCGTGAGGCACATTGCACTGTTGGCATTTTCCGACAGAGGAAATAGGCAAAAATACGTTGCGCACATGAGTAAGCGTCAAAATTACTTGTCCGGGGCGTATTCATTCCGACGTTAGGACGTCCCGTATCGTTTTCCAGGGATTTGCTCAAGTTTTGGGGTAGCGTGTTTTTTGGGACGTCCCGCATCGGTTTTTCGAGAAACCCCCCAAAACAACATGTACATGAACCACTCCTACATCTTAATGATGATAATCACGTAGGGAAGCCATGCCCATGGCGCGCCCTGAAGGTGCCGCGGCCTCCGCTGCGCAGACCTTTGTCTCGCCGGACTCCCGGTGTCGGAGCAAAACAAAAAGCCTCGGGCGAACTCGCCGCGGCGTTCGCCGAAGAAAAAAAAATCGGCCGCGGAAGGGCGCGGACTTGGCTGCTGCAAGGACCCCTCTGCAAGCAGTTTTCAACTTGTGGGTCCAAAGGAAATTCGGAGTTGGGAATTCCCGGTTTCCCAGGACCGCCTTCTGTTCCGTTTGCTTTCTGGGAACTTGGTTGCATCTTTGGACTTTATTTTCCATTGACCCACAAAGAGTTGAAAACTGCGTGCAGAGGGGTCGACAGCAACCAAGATTCAATTATTGAAACTCGGTTGCTGTTGACCCCGCTTCTAACAGTTTAACTTGTGTTTGTCCAATGGACATCCACTGTTTCCCAAAAAGTAAAGTCCGAAGACCCAACAGAACAGCCATAAAGGAAAGACGTGGGTGAGCCGCACATCCACGGAACCCGCTGAGACCCGACATGGTGAGCATCATTCAGGTGAAAATTGGTGTCCAACCATTTGGGATGGCATTTCTCATTAAAGCTCATAGCCAACCGAGAGAAGGCTGTACGGTGCACAAAGGACTGAGATCTACCGAAAAAACGAGCGCAAAGTTCCTTTGATCCAACTTTTCGGGTGGCTTCACGTGCTGTCTTTGGAGATCGGGCATTGAGCACCTGGCAATCTAAGCGCCCCCTCCATTTTCCCACAAAGGCCATGTTTGGGCGTCCATCACCAAAACCCTGCGAATGGGCTCCCTGGGAATCTGCTCTCTCTTTTCTGGCCTGGTGTCTCGAATTGGGTTCCGAACACGTCCCGAACATCAGTGGTGTCCTTCGTATCTACCAAGCCAACCCCAAAATCAGATCAAACACGGGAACCGCGCCTGACAGAACTGGGGATCCACAACCGGGAAGGCCGTCCCTCCCACCCCCACCCAAAGTCGGGTAGTTTTTCTTGGGCGTCTCTTGGAAAACAAAACCCAAAAAGGGCACCACCGACAAAGCAGGATTCATCAACCCAAAAAAAAAAACGAATTCAAAGTTGATGCTGCCGCGCCCTCTGCTGCGGGTGCTTTCTCGGCTCAGAAGGCATGAAGGCGCGGTATATAGGCGCTTGCAAGGTCAGACCTGCATTGAGTTGGCTGGTTCCCACTTACTACAAACAGAAGCAACAAAATGTACCGTTCCTCCAACAAACATAGCACCTGTGAAACGGTGGCTGGAAGATGAGTTTCCTGAAAAAGGACACTTTTGTGAGGTGCTATGCTAGTGGGACGGAGGGTAGGACAAGCATGCAAATGTAAAAACCCACATTTCTGCATTGTTGACTATACTTCCGAAGGCTGATTTAAGAATTGGATCCAAGTAAAGGACCTTTGTCCTGGCTTTCGCTCCTTCTAATTTCAGGTGTCGCTATAAAAGAGGCAAACACTGGTGACGCGAGCGATTCCCGGACCAAGGCCCCAGACTCACCACGGAGCCCCCAGCGCAAGGGAGTCACCTGGCAGCCCATGTGCGGCCGAAAGGAAACCAAAGGCTCACTTCCGGTCAAGTGGATTGGCCCAGTCCAGACTTTTGATTTACCACCAAAACTTCCCTTTGCTTTTTCGCCCCATGGGGAAAAACACATGTTTCCAGTAGTGATAGATATTGTTTATAACCAACAAGGGAGTAAAACAACATATTCTTAAGCAAATGGAAGAAAAAATTCTCGTCCCAGAAAGTCGAATCAAAGTCCATGAACTCAGGAGGTGAGAAGAAGGATCTGACCTCTTTCCTTTCAATTCTACGAACCTGAGTCCCTATGTTCGTTTTTTTTTGCCAAAAAGGACCACCAAAAGGAAGACCCCCCCCCCCCATTTTTTTGCCAACAAGGACCACCAAAAGGAAGACCCCCCCGCCCAATTTTTGGCCAAAAAGGACCACCCCACATTTTGGGCCACATTTGAAGGTGCAATTGCTGGAAAAAGTGCCAAAGCAGCCAGGCGCCCCAAGGGTTGGTTGACCTTGAACCTCCGCCCTCTGTTCGGTTTGAAGGAAAGCCAAACGGTTTTGAGCCTGGACTCCGGGAACATCCCATGTTGACCCGATCTAAGTACAAGCCCTGGCTGATTGTGAGAGATCCCTTTTGAAGGGGCGTTCAGACCACTTTCGGATTCAGATCACTTTTGGAGGGGCCCAAACCCCCGTCAATAGGATGGGTTGATTCATCCGCAGTTTCCCATGTGCCAGGGCTTCCTTGTCTTAGGCATGCAGAAATGCCAAAAGGGAAACAAGGAAGCCAACTGAAAAAGGAAGGCGGCAAAGGATTTTTTGAGACCAACCCATAGCTGACAAAATGACTGGTCTGCCTGGTAAAAAAAATAAAATAAATGTGTCTCGATCGAAGGTAAGAGCTTGGCTTCGGACTTTCGGCAGACCCCAAACGGCCATATCCGGAAGTGATCCGACCTCCGGGAAGTATCATGCCATCGGCAACATTCGTTTTGGAGCTTCAGATAGGAGGAAAGCATGTTGTGGGGGTCCGAGAATCCACGCAAACAACCTTGAACCAATCTGGGCGAAGCGCACAGTGCTGATCAGCAACAAGGTATCCCAATGAAAAGAATCTCATGTGTCAGCACCCTGCAAGAAGTGGACCACTTTTGCTCAAAGGGGCAGCGTGGCAAAACGGTCGGGGGCCGCCGAACGCCCGTTGAAGCGATCAAATCTAAAGGCCACGCCGCGCCTTCCACTCCCCGTTGAACTTGCTCACTTCCGGCCAGGGCTGGCGACGAGCCGTCGTGCAAGTCAAGTCTTAATAGGCTCCATGTCTGGGCTGCTCTCAGATTTCCCGCGAAAAGTGACTAACTTTGCGTGGGTTCAATAGGGAAACTACCACTAAACACTAAAAGGCAAAAAAGCTAAGGAACCGGATGGCTGGGAGCCACCAAGATGTGTGTGGTCTATCCCTGGCCCAAGTTGACGCTGGTCCCTGAATGGGGCCTTTCGTCTTTAAGTCGAGGAACCGCTTCTGGATGGTTTTCAGCCGCAAAAAAATGATTCGGACCTCAACCCCCTTTCACGCGAGCCACCTCCAAAGACGGACCCAAAACCCTTTCGATTTCCGCGAAAGAAAAGAGCCAAAAAGAGAGCACCAAAAGGTCAACCTTTGGAAAAACCCCGAAGGATCGCCAAAAGGTGTAACAAAAAATCCAACAAAAGTATTGGCTTCGGGCAAGCCATCAGGAATACACTGTTTAAGCGTCTGGTCGCTAAAGTAAGCAGGTTATAGCCTGGGATATAACTTGGACGCGGGTTGAACATCCAAGTGGCCCGCGAACGCTTACAGTGCGCAACGCGCGCCGCCAGAAGCAACAAAAAAGCGGCTGTCTACCAAGCCCTGAGACCCACGTCAAGCCAGGCTTGAAAAGAGGCCAAATCAATCAAATCAAACGTTGGGGGCCCTGGATTGCTTGGAGTCTTTGAAAAGTCAATGGGTGGTTTGTTATAAATTCATCCTACTAGGGGAGGGGGGGTAAATTACAACAATGAAGGATTCCCACTAAAAATTGGTTGTCCTCAGATCACTTGCTAAAAGTTTAATGTTTTGGTGTGTAACATGGGACCCCCCGCTAAACCAATAATAATAATAATAATAATGATAATGAGAATGATAATAATAATAATAATAGTAATAGTAATAGTAATAATAATAATAATAACCATAATAACAATAAAAAAATAATAACAATAATAACAATCATAATAATAATAGTAATAGTAATAGTAATGGTAATGGTAATAGTAATAATAATAATAATAATAAGACTAATAATAATAATAATAACAATAATAATATTAACAATATAATAATAACAATAATAATAATAACTAATTAATAAGAATAACAATAACAATAACAATAAACATCATGATAATGATAATGATAATAAGAATAACAATAACAATAATAATAATAATTAACGGAACCGGATGGCTGGTTGAACCACTCAAGCCAAAAAAACATGGACACACACACACACCCTTTCAATCAATCCACCTGGTTCTCTCAATGGATTCCCACCTCAACTCCCACTCCCCTCCCCTCCAGCAGCGTCCATTCAATCAATCCACAAGGTTTCACCCGAATTCCCACCTGAGTCACAATCAAAACCCGGTATGAAAATGGTCTACCCAGAACCATGCTTCAAGAATTACGAAAGCGGACCTCCGCAGCTATTTTTTGCAAGGGGGTTGTCCCTTACTAACCGGATCATCTACCCGAATCGGTTTCGAGCACGTGGCTCACCTCAACTTGCACTCCCACTCCCCCCCCAGCGCCCATGCAATCAATCCACCAGGCTTCTTTTTTTTCGCCCAGATCCCCACCTCAGCTCGTGTCACCACAACGCCCAAAACCCCACGCCCCACGTCCCACGCGGAGCGCCCCACGCGCTTCGGCGCCCCGCGCCTGCCATCTCAGCTCGCGGCCCCGGAGGCTGGTGGCCTCGCGGATAAGAAAATTTAGTCGGCGGTGAATCTGTGTCTCCCTTCTGAAGGCTCGAAGCAAAAAGGAAGAAAAAAGATTTAAGAAGAAAAGGGGGAGAAAAAAAGAAGAAGAAAGAGAAGAAAAAAGGTGGGAAAATAAAAAAAAAAAAAAGAAGAACACAAAGAACGGCCTCATGGGAAAAGCCGTCAGCGGTCGGTGTGTCTCTTTTTTAGATAGAGAAAAAAAACCAGGAAAGGAAAAAACAAGTGCTCCTTGAGGCTTCCTTTAGTTTGAGACACCACCAAAAGGCAAGCCTCAAAAAACTCCGTTTGGCCGAGTGTGTCATGCTGCCCCCTGCTTTACCATTCGGGCACTTTAGAAGACACTGGCAGACAAGCTGTCGCACCCGCCCGCCCGGGCTGCGGCCTGGTGTTTCAGTTGTCAACATCTGGGACGACTCTGGGACTCTGGGGCGGCTGAAACAGAACTGGAAAGTCCGCGGTTTATCTTGGTCGACGTTGGAAGGGGAGCAAATTTTCTCAAATTTTGGCAGTTAAGTGGTTGGACTTCAACCACTCAACCACAATAAGCAAAAATGGTAAAATGTTTCCCAACAACCACCAAGTTGTGTTGCCGCAATCCTTTCCTGTTGCCGCGGCGCTGATCCGCGGGTCTCTCATAAAGCCGCGCTCATCTTGGTTGCTGTTAACCCCTCTGCAAAAAGTTTGACTTTTAATGGGTTTAGTGGAAAACCCAACTTGATTCCAATCAAAAAACTTAAGTCTAAAGATCCAACCCAATAGCAGTCAAGTCACAAGGCGTACTCAAACCCGAAGCTTGTTTGTGGGCTTGCTTCCTGCTCTTCTTCGAAGCCGGCCAGACCCTGCACACCCCAAAGACGATCCGCAAAGGTTTGGCCAATCAGCCTTAGGGCAAACGAGGTCGGCGACCTTCGCAAAGTGGGGCAAATGGGGGGCAAACAAGGCCAAACAAATGGGTGTGGGTCAAAATTAAACCACCAGGGGACCGCAGATTTTAGTTCATATTTCCATTTACCAGGGTTTTATTTGGGGTACCTATTTTTGACCCACAGTGAAAATATGCAAATAAGGCGCAAGGGCCGACAAAAAAGGACCCAAGACAGCCCTCGGCCTTCACGGCTGGGGGAGACCTAAAAAAAAAGAATAAGCCGGCTGGTTGGAAATTGCGGAGATTGCCCCAAACAAGTGCAATCCCCAGTGAGGGTTCCATGGTGTAAGTCTTCTTTCTTTTGGTTTGGAGGGTTTGGGGCTCAGGGTTTTAGGCTTTCAGGGATTAGGGTTGACTCCCTCTGCAAAGAACATGGGCTTCAAGGAGGGGGCTTCCCAAAAGGAGATGCATCTCATGTTAATTGGTGGGAGGCTAATTTGTTGGTTTCCGGGTCAATCTGCAACGGAGAAAACTCGAGTTGAGCAAACCGCCTCTGTCACTTTCTCGTCGCTCATCATGGGCGGCTTTCCGTCCTCCGCTCAGAGAGGAAACCAAAGGTCCCCCCGCGGCATGGACAGCCAAAGGAAAACCAAAGCCCTGAAGTTGCAAAATAGACCTTAAGTGTCCACCATACGTCCCCCCCCCAAAAAAAAAAAAACAATACCCTGCAGTCCGTTGCAAAATAGACTCCAAGCGTCCACCATATGTCCCCCCCCCTTGCCCAAGACAAGGCTCGGAAGGATTCTCAGAAGGGGTTCTTACTAATCTCCTGCAGGACAAACCTCAACAGGTCACGTTTGCGACCTTGAGCGGATGACATCATCTTGACAGAGGCAACAAGGACCTTCTAAAATTGAAGATGAGGATACAGGTGTGGCTCAAAAACTAAGAGCTAGAGATACTCAGGCTTTAGTCTTTGTTGCCATTTTGTGGATTCCAGTTTTTGAACCGCTGCCAGTTTCAGAAATCTCTCACAAATTGAACCCCTACACCATCTCAAGTAGGCTGGGAAAAAGAAAGGCCTTGACGTTCTATGGATTAGCACCCTCTCTAATCATGGAGAGGAAGTTCCCAAAACCAGAACGTGTTCCCTCACCTTGACGGCTAAGCCATGTGGATGTGTCTTTTTTTGGGGACTCCATGTGATGTTCCTCTTGGTGTCCCGTTTAAAGCAGCCAAAAAGAGGGTCCAAAAAACAAACACACCCATGTCTTTGCAAAAATGAATGTGCACATATGAGTATATGCTTGCATGCATGCAAAGCCTTCAAGGCAAGGCAAGGCAAGGCAATACGTGCACGTATGGATGTATATATGTATGTGTGTGTGTGTGTCTGTATGTATGCATGTATGCATGTATGCATGTATGCATGGATGCATGGATGTATGGATGTATGGATGCATGGATGCATGGATGCATGGATGCATGGATGCATGCATGCATGCATGCATGCATGCATGTATGCATGGATGCATGCATGCATGCATGTATGTATGTATGTATGTATGTATGTATGTGTATGTATGTATGTATGTATGTATGTATGTATGTATGTATGTATGTATGTATGTATGTATGTGTATGTATGTGTATGTGTATGTGTATATGTGTATGTGTATGTGTATGTATGTGTATGTATGTGTATGTTTATGTATGTATATGTATGTATATGTATGTATATGTATGTATATGTATGTATATGTATGTATATGTATGTATATGTATGTATATGTATGTGTATGTATGTATACGTATGTATACGTATGTATGTGTATGTATGTGTATGTATATGTATGTATATGTATGTATATGTATGTATATGTATGTATATGTATGTGTATGTATGTGTATGTATGTGTATGTATATGTATGTATATGTATGTATATGTATGTATATGTATGTATATGTATGTGTATGTATGTATATGTATGCATATGTATGTATATGTATGTATATGTATGTTTATGCATGTATATGTATGTATATGTATGTATATGTATGTATATGTATGTATATGTATGTATATGTATGTATATGTATGTATATGTTTGTATATGTATGTGTATGTATGTATGTATGTATGTATGTATGTATGTATGTATGTATGTATGTATGTATGTATGTATGTATGTATGTATGTATGTATGTATATGTATGTATATGTATGTATATGTATGTATATGTATGTATATGTATGTATATGTATGTATATGTATGTATATGTATGTATATGTATGTATATGTATGCATATGTATGTATATGTATGTATATGTATGTATGTATGTATGTATGTATGTATGTATGCATGTTGTGTGTGTGTGTGTCAGTGTCTCTACATCTATATATATATATATATGCATATACGCATAGATGCGCGTATGTCTATGTATACGTATGTGTCTATGTATATGTATGTATATGCATGTGTATTACATAGCTGCCTCCATACACATCTATGTGTATGTCTATATATATATATGTATATATTTCTGTATCAATGCGTGTATTTTGCTTGATGGTACCCCTTTTCTTATATATATATATATATATATATATCAATGTGCTTCTATGTGTATATAACGATGTGTATATATATATACACATATATATATACAAATATATATTTGTCAATACGTGTCTCTTGTTGATGGTACCCCTTTTCTTGTGGGTTTTTCAAGGGACGCCTTCGAGGGAACGGCCCGTTGCGGTCCGCATCTTCGCCTTCGCGGCCTGTCCTCGGCTTCCAGCAGCCGGCGCCGCACCAGCAGCACCGGCGCCTCACGTCTTGGGCGGGTCTTGGGCGGGGTGGGGTGGCTTCGGCTCGGGGCACAGGCGGACGGGTTTTGGTCGGCCTACTAAAAATGACCAGCGCCGAGTTCCTGTTCAAGACACTCACGCACTGGGTACGTCCAAGCCTGGCCAACGCGATGCCCACTAAAAAAAAAGAACAGAAGAAGAGCTAAAAACGCAGAAACATGCGAACAGACCTCAAAACAGGCCAACAACAGTGAATGAAGAGAAGAAGACCCTCCCACCAACTAACGTGGAAGTGCACCAAGCCCCTGTTCAAGAGGAAAGTCGTCTTTCGGGGGTTTGTGCACTGCCATGTTAGTTGGTGGGAGAGTACCTAAAAACATGGCCAACAGACCTAAAAACATGCCAACAACAGTGAACGTTTATAGAGCCACCACTGTTTACCTCAGGAGGTTCGTCATCTTGAAGGGGGGGTCCCAGTCGAATTGGGGATTGGAGCTAGACCGCCTCAGACTTTTCGCAAATCTTGGCAGGACCAAAAGCCAGAGGGTTTCGGGCACTTCTCAATGTTGACTAGATGTGTCTCCCGAAAGGCGTCAATCCATGGTTGGATTGCTGGATTGCCTTGTTTCAGCTTGAACCATCTGCGAAAACGGCTTCCTAACTTTAGGACATTCCCGCTGGTTCTTTTCTCCATCTTTCATTTGCTTGTCCGTCTTCTGGAAAACATGACAGCATGTGCAAAGTAGTGATAGGTTCCCTTTAAAACCAACATGGGGAGCAGCCGTGCGAAACTCCAAAATGGCCAGTTCCTTTTGGGGGGGGGGGGCCTCCCCCTTCAAACCACCATTGGCTCGGGTGATTCCGATGCCACTTAGGACGGAAGAGCAAAACACGGAGCTGCATGCCCTTTTTGCCATGGCATCAAGGCAAAATAGAGCTGCTCCTGACTCAGATTCTCCATTCACCCGTTTCAGTTTGAAACATTCTGTGGGAGCGCGCCACGGGACGTGCCAACTGGTTTGAGTCCATCTCGGCGAGTGTCAGTGCATGAATTCGGCATAGCCGTTCGCTGTCGTGTCGCGTTGCTTGGGCCTCTCTATGTAAACCTTTGCTTCGGTTCGGGAAACCAAAAGGAAACACCAAAGGGAAGCTGCCTGGGGAATCGATGTCCCATCAGCATCCTTGGTTACATGATTTCTCAGAAGGAGTTGTGACTCTTCCAAACCATCTGGGCTATCGTGGCTCTCACGTCTTGCGGGCTGGACCCTTTCCATTGGCGTGTCCATGTAGGTTTGAAACAGGCGAACCAAAGAATGGCCATCTTGTTTATTGTTGCTTTCTGTTTATTTCATGTTCCTGGACCCACACGAGCCACGGTGAGAAAAATGACCCTGTTTGATGCTGAATTGTTTTTGTTCGGGACTTGTTTGGAAAGTCCTCGCGCCACACAGCCCACCTTGGTTGCTGTTGACCCTTCTGCAAAAATGTGCTCGAGTTTGGTGAGTTCAATACAAAAACAACAAACATGATCTCAACCAAAAAGTTGCCCAGTCCAGAGATCCGTTCGCCCAATAGCAATCAAGAAACTCCAGGTCCCTGGCGCCAAAACAAAAAAAGCCGCGCCTCTACCACCGGCTCCGGCGGCGGATGCATGGGCGGGTGCATGTGCGGCGGCACCCCCGGCATTGGGGGGCCATACGGCGGAGGTGGCCCATAGGGTGGTCGCCCGTCCTCAGACGTCGGAGACTCCCCCCTAAGCACCCCCAAGTTGGCAATGGGTTTCCTGTGGCTGTCCTCAGATCCCCCGCTAAAAGTTTAACTTTCAGTGGGCTAAAGGGAAACTGCCACTAAACTCTGAAAGGCGAAAAAGCTAAGGAACCGGATCGCTGGGAGCCACCAAGAAAAGGGGGACCCTCAAAAACGAAGCCACGCGCAACAGTTTAGGCCTTGGACGTATGCCTGAAGCAGATCCTAACGGCCCCGGCCGAGATGTCCAGGAAAGTATGGGGGGTGTTGCTCGGGTAGTTTCAAGAGCTACCCAGTTCCCCCGCTACAAGTTGAACTAGTGGGTTGAATGGAAACCCAAACCACCAAACCAACCAAAAAACCGAAGAGGAAGGGAACCACCAAGCGAAGATTGGTTCCCGTTTGGTTTCCTGGTACCCTCAAACCAAAACGCCCCTAAGGGTACGGTTCGATTGAAACAACCGTCGAACGAGGTCCTGGTCTGTTTAGGGGTTTGTCCCAAAATAGGTTGCATGGAACCCCGAAATAATTCTAGGGGTAGCTTCCGTTTCCATTCTTTCCACAGATCCAGATCTTTCAAGACAACCACCAAAAACTATGGGGAAATGGCGATCGGTTTTTGAAAGAACAACGGCTGAAAAGAATGGGGAACTAACCCCTATAATGAGTCCATCTGCCCCAGACAGGGTACAAACATGCTCCAGAGTCCCAGTCGTAGAAACTGGGCTGGAAGTGGACAACACAAAGACCGCCCTGCCACTTCTCACTTCCTGAGGTGGATTGGCCCAAAAAAGTAACCAAACATCTTGTGTTTACCACTAGAATGGCAACCAAACCCACAAAGCAAGTCCAGGTACTTTCTGCTGAGTCGTGGGTACGAAGAACTAGTCGGTAGTACACCCTCAAAACTCGTCCAGGAACTCGGGCCCGTGAGAGCTTCCCTACCCTTTTAGATTCTGGCCGGTTTGCTTCGCGCACCTCAAACACCACCCTTCCATTTGCTTCAGCCCTCTGAAGAAATGAGAAGGAAAACGAAAAACAACTCTTGAGCAAATTACCACTATAGAACGGCCTTTCCAACCCCAAAAGGCATACAAAGTCCAGGAGCGTGAGGGCTTCCCCGCCCTTTTGGGGCCGGACTTGTTCGCAGCCCGACACCACCCACACAGGGCTCCCCATATTTCCCCTTAAAAACATCACCCCTCTCCAGGGACACTCACCTGAGCGCCCAAAAAGGCGCTGCTTGAAACCAGCCAAACGGGGGACATCCAGGGATCGACCCCCGACACCACCGCGAGAGCGGCATGGCCAAGCCACAAAGAAAGGCGGCGGCATCCAGGGCCAGCCCTGCGACGCGCACACGCTCGTCTCTTTTGGCGCGGTCGGCGCGGGGCGGTTTTGCTGGGCTGGTCTTGGGGTTGCGCGAATGGTTGTTGTTGGGTTTGTTTTTTGGGGGGGTGCAAGGGTTTTGAAGGAAAAACTAAGGGAATAGGGTTGCGCCCCATGGACGATCTGTTCCTTTTTTAGGGGTTTGAAAAAAACTCTAAGGGAATACGGTAGAGTTGTTCCCCCTCCCACCCCCCCCTGTGGTCGTGTGGGCTTGGGTTGTCATGTGGGCTTGGTTTAGGATAAGTTTAGGGTTGGCTTTTGGGTTGGTTTGAAGGGTTTAACTACCGGAATATATATCATTCTTGGGGGAAAAAACGACCGGTGGGCGGTACTTGAACCCGTGGGAGGGCGCCACGTTGGGAGCGAGGGTTAAAAATCTTACCTTCTGGGTGCCCTACCTGTCCAACCCTTGGTAGCAACACATCGACGGCTTTTTGCCACCCCACTCAAATGAACGGAACGAGAGAAGGCTAAAAACATGCCACCAAGATTTGAGTTCCTCTGGGTGTTCTGTTTGAGACACGCCGTAATTTAGCAAGGCGACCTGCCGCTGGGTGATCCGCCGCCCCCGAAAAAGCCACTGACGCCGACCCCCCGCCCCTCAACGCAGGGCGTCGTAAGCCGAAGGAAGGAAGGCCAGTGGCGAGGTCTTGTGAGTGTTTCGGGGAAGACTCGGTTGCTTTCTGACTGCTAAAAGTTTCACTCTTAGTGGTTTAGCGGAAAACCCAAATTTGTTGGCAAAAAGTTGTTCAGTCCTAACAGCCAAGCAAAATGCACCAAAGAAGACACGCCTGCTTTAGGGGCAACACACGGTCCTAAAACCGTAGAACCCCCCACTCAAAGTGGAGAAATAGCGAGAAAAAAAAATCCAGAGAATGCAACAACACCCAAGAATGCCAAGAATGTAGAAACTGTCATGTGTGAGGAAACTGGAGGAGGGAGTTTCAACTCTCTGTTGCGGGGAGATGCGGGGAGCACGAGAGGCGGCAAAAAGCAAACCGCCTTCCATTTCATCCCTCCCTTCTCCCCCCAAAAACAACTCCCCGGCCCTACCTTGGCTGATGACGGCACAGTTGGACTTGGGACTCTCAAACCCCCAATAGAACAGAGTCATTCTGGTGAAGCTGATCCGGAATGAGGGCATCTGCAAGCTCCCCGCCGTATGCTTACTCACACCATGGCACCCTCACCCCGCTGCAAGGTCCCTTGCCCAAGTCTCAAACCTTTTCCTTCAACGCGGCGCCCTCTTCTTGCTGGTTCTCAGGAGGGAATGAAGCATTCCATCCCCTATAATCTCCTTTGAGGGAAGCCCAATGTTCCTTTCTATTAACGCCTTGCCTGGCTTTTTGGATCAAAAGGCTCTGTTCAAACCTTTGCGGCTGGGCGGTTGGCAGGGGCTTCTGGTGTCTCCTTAGATTCGCGATGTTGGCAGCCTTTCAAAAAACCGTTGAGGTCATGTTCAAGATTCCTTGCTCCGTTTTTGACGCAAAGTGACATCCGGATGGGGCAACCTTCGCTATGGACATGAAAAAGACCCCTAATGTTGACCCAGGATTAATAAACCCGTCACTATCAGGGGGGTGTTCCCTCCAAAAGTGATCTGAATCCACACTAAAAGGGGACACCCCTTGTAGTAAATCAACCGGGGGTTCTGCTTAATCAGGTCTGAGCATGTCGACCGGAAGGCAGCCAGCATAGGTGTCCTTTTTGGAAAAATGGATGGCCCTGGTAGTTGATTGAACCACCAGGTAAACCAGGAATCGCCCTCTATGTTTCAACCAAATCAAACAAAAAGGACCCCTATGGCATCCGGCGGTTAGCTGCGCGCCTTGCCCTTGCCCTTGCCCTTGCTCCGCTCCACAATCTGCGAGAGGTTCCGACGCGCACAGCTGCGTGAGGAAAAGCCCCGGATACCCATATGGCTGTGGCTCCAAAAAATGTACCCAAAATGGTTGCTAGGTAAATAGAAACAAAAAACAAAACCTGCGTAACCCTATCTCTTAAATTTTGAGCCACACCCACATGGTTGATCAAAAGGTCCGATGAACATGGGATGATCATTGGTTGAACAACCACCAAAAGATGATGTGTCCCACGTGGGAAAAGTTCCCCATGGTCATTGTGGGGCCGAACGGAATACAAATCAACCATCCTCTCACTTCTTTTAAAGTGCCCTTGGCATCACCGAGAGTGGCAACCTGAAACCAAATCTTCGACCACGGGGGTCCATGGTGGATGCCTGTCTACACCCTCAAACTGGCCGCGCGGGGGGAGGGGGAATTCTTCCAGCAGGCCTAAACATGATCACTGGACATCAATTCACACACACACACCATCTTCCTCTCACAAAAACCAGCGGTTGTGAGGGGCTCATTCCCTTGTATGGAAAGCAGAAACGAACCCACCTCGTTCCTACTATGCGCATAGTTTCTGTCAAGAGCAGTACCTGTCAAAGTTCAAAGGGAAGCCACCCCACTGAGGAGCGTGTCTTTCGTTTTTGAGGGCTTTGGTTTTGTTTTGAGGGAAACCAAGAGGAACCTACCCCCATATTGGAGGGCAACAATTGGGAGACACGCCATATCGAGGCACGCTGGATCCAAGCGCAATGCGAACACTGGCAAGGTATCCAGATGTCTAAAAAACGGATTGGATCCGCTTTTCCTAGATTCAACATGTTCTGCTCTTTGTTTGGTACTCCTTAGTACAACTTCGTACCCTTTCAGTTGAGGTGGGTCCACAAAAGGCGCAAGTCATATCCCCTACGACTGCCATGGTCATCTTGCACACATCTGTGTGTGTGTGTGCTGGCTGCTTCGTTAAACGGTGGCTTTCTGGTCTTTCCCATTCTTTCCAGGGATCCTTCTTTCAGGAAACCATCAAAAACCCAGGGGAAACAGCCGGCTTTTCAAGAGAAAGATGGAAATCAACCCCCAGAAAGGCTCGCCTTTCGCCTAAAAATCAAAAATCACCCCCCCCCCCTTCCGAACAACAATAGGGAGGGGGGGGGGAAGGAGTTGTTGTTTGGGGGGGGGCGCTAACCTTCCAACTAAACATCAACCAAACAAAAAGAGAAAGCTGAAAGGTCCCTGGCCTTTGGGCAAGCCTTGGGCGTGCCCTCGCGAAGTGCTCCGATGAATTCTTGCATCAAAAAGCCCCACGACCCCATGGAACGGGTGGGGGTTGTTTTCACCCTATCGGCATGGAGGAGAAAAGCACCAATGGCCAAAAAAGACAGGGAGAAAGATCAAGTGCCTGAAGCAGGAGGGTTTTGCTTTGGGACATGCCACAGTGGCCTGTCCGTTTCTGAACTTTTAGTGGGTGAAATGGACACCCAGCCACTAAACCAACTGAAAACCCACAAGCCTAAAAGGATGGCTGGGAACCACCAAGACCAACATGTGAGTATCTGTCTTTTTTGGAGGGTCCCTTTTTGAAAAGGTGGTTTCAAGGGAAGCCCGGGGTGCATACCTAGAGGCCACATGAGGCCAAAAGAAGGCCAAAAGAAACTGTCAGGGAGCCCACCATTCATGGGTACCCAAGCATTCTGCAAATGTTGCTATAATTCCACAAGCTGAATTATGGGATTCCCAAGTAAAGGACCTTTATCATAGTGAGCTCGTTTTCCCCCCAGAGCTCGACACAAACTAGGCAGGCAATGCATGTTGAAGGTTCCCTATTTGGAGAAAATCCCAAATGTGCCATGCTCAAAACTGGGGAAAATCCGTGGTCGTGGCTCCCTAGGAATCCTCACCATGGTCTCAAGTCATCACCTGGCTCACGCCAAAAAAGGCGTCCCTCAACCTCCAAATGATTTCTGTACCAGACGTACGAACCCGACCAACCACAATGTTGACCTGCCCAAACTTCAAAACGAACCCGACCAAGACCTCAAAACACAATGGGTGCGGATTTATTTGGTCGCAAAAAGTGTCCAGCAGTCCATGGTCGCCACAACACCCAGGACAGAACCTTGCTGACAAATCGTTCTGACCGTGGCGCATATCATCACTATGGAAAGCTGGCTATCATTGGGAAATCCCTCAAACAATTTAGGGAGAAACAAATACTGGGTCCTCGAGTAGAAAGGTTAGAATAAGGGTAGCAACTTTTTCTGTAGTCCATTTTAGTCGGACCTAGCCACTAGAACAAACCCATCACACATGATAATGACGTTCCCCACATGGGAAAAGAACCCTCCCCAAAAAAAAAGGTAAAAGGGCACTACTGAAAAGCGCAGAAATAGGGTGAAACAAAATCGACCAGAGTTACGAACACACCTTGACAAAACCAGCGGAGTTCGGACCTCTCGGTGGATCTCCCCCAACTGCTTGCTCCACACCTCGAGCGCACGGATGCCGAACGCCCGCGCCCGCACCCTGGGGGCCCTTTTGAAGAATTGTGGACGCCCGCGATCAGTGCGGATTTGGGGGAATGAGTTGGAACGAACCTGGAGATTCCCTTAAAGGAAACCATAGATGGTTTACAGAGGTCATTCCATTTCTCATTCCCTGAGCACCCGCAAGTTGATTGGCAAATGATAATGCCGACCCCCCGATTTCGGACTTTGAACCATGCCCCCGAATATCTCAGATGACCTTCACCAAAATTACCTGCAGTAGCCGGGGGTGCACCCTACTCGTTGCAGGGTAAGCAGATTTCCCCGACCTGTACACATCACCAACCACGAGAAATGGATGTTCCAAAACATCAACAGGGGAAAAAATAGGGAGGGCTCATCCAAGTGGACGTTCAAAATGGGCCTTTCACCCCCCTGGTTTGTTTGTTTGGTCTCCAAAGTAACTTGCAACATCAAAAAAGAAAGCGCAATTGCCCAAACAAAAGCAGAAATGGATGCCATTTCCGCCCAGGCGGAAAACGCTTGTTCAAGACTGGCCTTGCCAAATGGTTTGCCGTCCGGACCGTTTCGGAAGGAGGGTTCCTGCACCCCACCTACCTAGGGCATGCGATTGTGGAAAGTCACCCGTTTTAGCGATGTAAAAGCGGGCCATTCGGACAACTTTGGCACATGAAAAAGGGCCATCACCGGGGGAAATTGTCAGATTGGGCCCCCCAAGAAAGACACTTCGGGCCCTACCACAGTCACTTTCAATGGGATTCCCTGGTAATTATCACAAAAAGTTGCAAACCCAAATTCTCAGGATTTTCCTCAACCAGCCCAAATTACAGCCTTTGCAATGCAACTCGCTTTGGGGAGCCCTGGTCGATCTGAGCCCCTGAAAAAGATGGCCACTCCTTGCTGCTAGGGAAATCAAGGAATCCAAAAGGGCCAAAGTGACGAACAACAGAGATTGACAGATGATCAGGCCCGGACCAGATCATAAGTGACGTCCTCCAACTTACTCTCTGAGTGGTTTACGGGGAAGCCGCCCCCCAACCCAAAATGTGGATGGACAGGCCGTAGCGAGGGCCCCACATCCAAACCTTTCGCCACGTTCTCCGTCTCATCGGGCTCGTAGTAAACCTCGGCGAAGAGACGCGCGCAGAGCGCCTCGGCCCTGGTCACGTGCCTAACCCATCTCAGAGGGAACAAGACAACACTTAAAACGGCAGCGGGGCAAAAATATCGGTAACTCCAAAATGGGTTGCCCTGGTACATGGAAACAAGGACTAAAACCTGCGGTCTGGTGGCTTAATTTTGACCCATACCCAAACAATGGTAATGTTGATCGAGGATCACGATTCCCGTTGAGAGTGAAACAAGATTAGGAGCGAGGCTGACCATGGTAATGCCTGCCCCCTTTTAATGTCGAACCTTGCAAGTTGATACGGGGGTGCAACTCGCCATCCCTCTAAATTGGGACCACCAGCAATTCAGCTAAAAATAACGGACCCACGAAGTGCCACAAACCTCCTTTCATCTTTGCCGGGGGGGCTAAGGTAAATCGCAGCCCCGTCAACACGCGGGACGTGGGTTGGCGATTCCCCTCCCCGTGACGTGATCACCAGTTTATCGCAGATTTTTTGGGAAGGGAAGGGCTCAGAGAGCGGCGAAGTCCGAGCGAATTTCCACCCAGCATCGACGAAACTTCTAGCAGGAGCGTGTTTTCTTTCCCCCTTCCAGGTGAATAGCTAAGCCGAGCTCGGGTTATTTGATTTGGAGTTATTCGTGTTAAAATCAACCAAAATAAAAGCAAGAATATTATAACCAGCTATACGTTATGTCGTTAGATGCAAACATAAGACAAATAGAACAAATAATTAGCAGTATAGACAACGCTGAAAAAATCACCTCTCTTGGTTTCGGGGGAAAAATATATATCCCATTTCACGGGCCCTGCTGCTTGTCAAAAAGAAGGCCCCTGCCCAATCAACGAACCTCGCCAAAAAAAAGGGGAAACAAACTGGCCGAAAAAGAAGAAGAAAAAACGAACCTCGCAAAACCGGAAGAAAAAAAAGAAAGAAGAAGAAGAAGAAAACAAAAAGAAAACTCGTCGAGCGCCAAAGGGCCACCATGTGCATGCGCGGATCCTCATCCACCTGTCCGAAGGTCCTTGGCGAGTGCGGAAGGCGAAAATTTCTCGTGGCGTCCAATCGTTCGTCGAATGACTCCCAACAAGAATGCGGATGTGGGTCAAATATATAGGAATTCTCAAAGTGTCATTCCCAACATGCTTGTTGATTTCCAAGAAGATGTTCACCTCTAAACCTGGCCGGGACTTCATGGTGTCATGCCCAACATCCGTTCATACAACCAAGATGTTCACCTCTAAACCTCTTTGGAACTTTGCAAAGAGAAAAAGGCACAAAAACCCGGGCACAGTTGGGACAACTAGCATGCTAGAGTCCCACCACAAAAAGGTGAGGATGTCTGCCCTTAATTCTTTACATGGATTTGGGTAGACTCCTTTCATCCTGGGTTGTTGATTGCAACTCGGCGTGGGTGTGCTGCTTAAAAGTTTCCGCAGTGCAAAGGAAAATCGTCCTGGAAAGGCCTCATGGTTTTGAGGCCAACATCTGCCAAAAGCCCTCAGGAAGGCAATTCTCGGGGGTCGCGAATCCCAAGTTTCAAACAAAAAAGAGGTGTTGGCTCCGGCAGAAATCGGCCCCAAGTCCCTTCGATCTTCAGACAAACTCTCCTGTTCTGCTTGCTTGGGGAAAAAATCGCCCAGCGAACGCTGAGCTGGGGAGTGTGAGACTGTGAGACGACGAGGTTCCGAGGATTCCTTGAGCGTCTTGCCCCGGTTGGCCAACTTCAAGCTCTGGCTTTGCGTCTTGCCCCGGTTGCCCAAGTCTTGGTAAAGATATTGGCCCGGTTCGAACCTTTGGCGGCGCGTGAAACGTCAACTGGCCTGCAGTTCGAACGCTTGAGCTAGACCCGAGGAAGGCCAGAGCATGTCTTTCTCGCAGCTCAGGTCTTGTGACAGGTCCAGCAGAGAGCGGTGCCAAGCAAACGGCTTCCCTTTCGCGGGCTCCCATTAACGTCCAGATTCGCGTGTCGGCCACACTTCGGCCACACTTCGGCTAGCACCAAACCGCGGAGAAGTCGAAAACTTTCGCAGACGCCTTTGGCATGTTTGGAAGGGCTTGCCACGTCTTTGGCGCTTTTTTCCCGGAAGCATCGCAAAGGGTTCTTCTTCTAAAAGCGGCTGCAAACTTCACCTGCCAACTTCTCATGTCAACTTTTCGAGAGTTATTTCACCTGCCAACTTCTCTTGCCAACTTTCGAGAGTTATTTCATCTGCCAACTTCTCATGCCAACTTTTCGAGAGTTACTTCGCCTGCCAACTTCTCATGCCAACTTTTCGAGAGTTACTTCACCAGCCAACTTCTCATGCCAGCTTTTGGAGAGTTACTTCACCAGCCAACTTCTCATGTCAACTTTTCGGGTGTTATCGCGTTATCCTAAAAACACAAGCTAACTTTTCTTTTCTACCTTCACATCTCGACTTTTCGGGTGTTATCTCATTATCCTAAAAACACAAGCTAACTTTTCTTTTCTACCTTCACATCTCGACTCTTAATTCGGTCAAGACAGATTCGCACGGCGCCACAGCGAGAGCGATGCGACACGCACGATCCCCGCAGAGGGTTCATCGGGCTCAAGACAGATTCGCACGGGACCATAGCGAGAGCGATCCGACACGCACGATCTCCGCAGAGGGTTCATCGGGCTCAAGACAGGTTCGCACGGCGCCACAGCGAGAGCGCTTCGACACGCACGATCTCCGCAGAGGGTTCGCCGCGGTCAAGACAGATTCGCACGGGACCACAGCGAGAGCGATCCGACACGCACGATCCCCGCAGAGGGTTCATCGGGCTCAAGACAGATTCGCACGGGACCACAGCGAGAGCGATCCGACACGCACGATCCCCGCAGAGGGTTCGCCGAGGTCAAGACAAATTCGCGCGGCGCCACAGCGAGAGCGCTCCGACACGCACGATCTCCGCAGAGGGTACGTTTCGTAAGCTCCCGTCGGGCCTACCCCCGCCAGAAAAACAAGAAGCGGCGAACCCTCTGCGGGGATCGCGCGTGTCGAAGCGCTGTCCCGTGCGAGTTTGTCGTGACCGCGGCGAACCCTCTGCGGAGATCGCGCGTGTCGAAGCGCTCTCGCTGTGGCGCCGTGCGAATTTCTTGCTCGCGAAACGGCCTTTGGAAGTTGTCTCGTGGTTTGCGCGCCTGCTTTCGCAATCCCGCGGTCGCGGGTTCGATTCGCCCCTGGTCCGCGGCAGCTCCGGCTCGAAAATCGCAGCTTTTAAGTACAAACGTAGTACGCGGAGCGTGCTCCCGCAGCTCCGGCTGGAAAATCGCAACTTTTAAGTACAGACGTAGTACGCGGAGGCTGCTGCAGCTCCGGCTGGAAAATCGCACTTTTTAAGTACAGACGTAGTACGCGGAGCGTGTTCCCGCAGCTCCGGCTGGAAAATCGCAACTTTTAGATACAAACGGCTGGAAAATCGCAACTTTAAAGTACAAACGTAGCACGCGGAGCGCCTCCGCAGCTCCAGCTTTTTGAGGGTTACTTCACCTGCCAGTTTCTCATGCCGAAATTTCGAGAAGTACTTCACCTGCCAACTTCTCGTGCCAACTTTTCAAGGAGTTACTTCACCTGCGAGCTTCTCATGCCAACTTTTCGAGAAATACTTCACCTGCCAACTTCTCATGCCAACTTTTCGAGAAATACTTCACCTGCCAACCTCTCATGCCAGCTTTTCGAGAAATTACTTCACCTGCCAACTTTTCGCGCCAACTTTTCGAGATTACTTCACCTGCCAACTTCAACTTTTCGAGAGTTACTGCACCTGCCAGCTTCTCATGCCAACTTTTCGAGAGTTACTTCACCTGCCAACTTTGCCTGCCAGCTTTTAGAGAGTTGCTTCACCTACCAGCTTCTCACGCCAACTTTTCGAGAGGTACTTCACCTGCCAACATCGCCTGCCAACTTTTCGAGAGTTACTTCACCTGCCAACTTCTCGCGCCAACTTTTCGAGAATTACTTCGCCTGCCAACTTCTCATGCTAACTTTTCAAGAGTTACTTCACCTGCCGGCTTCTCACGCCAACTTTTCGACAAATACTTCACGCGCCATCTTCTCGTGCCAACTTTGCGAGAATTACTTCACCTGCCAGCTTCTCACACCAACTTTCCGAGAGTTACTTCACCTGCCAACTTTTCTTTTGAGTTACTTCACCTGCCAACTTCTCACGCCAACTCTTTGAGAGTTATTTCACCTGTCAACTTCTCATGCCAACCTTTCTCTTGAGTTACTTCACCTGCCAGCTTCTCATGGCAACTTTTCGAGAATTACTTCACCCGCCAACTTCGCCAGCCAACTTTTCGAGATTACTTCACCTGCCAATTTCTCGTGCCAACTTTTCGAGAGATATTTCACCTGCCAACTTCTCGTGCCAACTTCTCTTGCCAACTTTCCGAGAGTTACTTCACCCGCCATCTTCGCCAGCCACTTTTTCGAGAGTTACTTCACCGTCAGCTTCTCATGCCAACTTTTCGAGAATTACATGACCTGCCAACTTCTCATGCCAACTTTGCGAGAATTACTTCACCCGCCAACTTTGCCACCCAACTATTCGAGAGTTATTTCACCTGCCAGCTTCTCATGCCAAGTTTTTTAGAATTACTTCGCCTGCCAACTTCTCATGCTAACTTTTCGAGAGTTACTTCACCTGCATCAACTTGCCTCTATGCTTCCGGGCCACTCGTCGTCTAGTTTGAGGCCCATCGATGTCAAACTCACCGATCAAAAGGACACCTATGCCCCGCTCCCCCCCCCCCCCCCGCCCGCCCCAAATTGCCAAAGCCACCCCCGCCACAAAGCCGTCGCGCGCTTTTTGGGCGAGCCCTGGGCCGCCCCGCTTCATGTTGCGCCCCGTCAGCGTCACCTTCCGCAGCCCGGAGCCGTCCTTCACCTGAAGAAACGTCCGCAAAAAGGTGAACTGAACAATTTTATTTTATTAAAAACAACAAAAAAGAAAGAAAGGGAAAAAAAAGGGGGGAGGAAAAAGAAAACGGGCAGTTCAAACTGGAATGTTGGCATCCATCATCCCTGTTGGAAAACCACTGCAAAGGCCCACAACAAAGGCCAGGATTAAGGATTGCTTTTGAACAGTATATGGGGCAGGCCCTGCAAGTTGCTGCAAGGAAGCCGCGTTTCACCGCATGTCGCCGCAGTTTGACGCAACTTGACCTCAAGTTCAGCTTGGCTGACCGAAATTGACAAGATTGTGCGGTTGGATCTGTGGCTGGCTGCAATATTTTGGGAACCAACTGTTTGTGCTGCTACACCATGTCTGATATGCGGACTGCTCTCTGCTAGTGGCGAGTGGGCCCTTGGCAAGGGTATCTTTTACCCAAGCTGAACAATTGGCAACGGGCACAGTAGGAAACAAATCTGCGTGTACATATATATATATATATGTACATATATAGATACATACATACATATATGTATACATGTATATATATATATATATATATATTTATATATATATATATATATATGTCATATACGTATATGTAGGTACGTATAAAATGGTGTTGGTTTGGTACTGGATTGGTGTTCCTTCGATATTGGGTCGGGCTGCTAAGCGCAGCTTCGTTTACTGAGTTGTCTCAAGCCAGAAAGGCTACTGCATACACGGATGATGCCTTCTGGACGTCTCCGAAAGATGTCCGCGTGAAAACTGGCCATCCTCCTGCAGTTTTAGTCTGAGCACACACACACACACAACACGCATCCATGACAAGAATCTTTGCAAAAACTATCTTTCGGGTATTGGTCTTTCAGAGTTTGGCACCAAAATTGGTTCGAGCCAACGCACGGTTTCCACCGTCCCTAAGAGGAACTGTACTTGAAATTGGCAACCGGGAGGTGTAAAGTCCTCTTTCAAAGTAACACCATTCTTGCTGGGAACATTCTCCGGAGTGTGTCCCTTGAAATTTGTCTTCCGTGTAACTTCCAGGTGCTATGTTAGGGCGCGCCAGGTGGTCGTTTTTGAGGCCCTGGCTTTTTGGGTGTCGGTCTAAAGACAAGCCCGACAGAAAGCCACCTGGGAGTGCCTTTTTGTCTTTTCTCTAGGACCCCCCCTTTTTGTGGTTGGTGAAGGGAAACCAAAATCAAACCAACCGCTCCTGGCGTCCCCCGTCAAAATGGAAACAAGTCCCGCCCCACGGAAATCTCTTTCTGGGTGCCCTCCCAAAGCCCCGAAAATATGGCTCTCCTCCTCGTTTCCCTTTGAAACCGACCAGGACGTAGCAACTCCCAAAGACGAGGCCTCCAGCATGGCCCTGGCGCGAGGACCCATCAGCAGCACTGCCTGGGCTCCGAAGAGGGGTTCAGTTGAGGCACAATCAAAACCTGGTACTAAAATGGTCGATACCCAGAACCATGTGAAGAATTAAGAAGGCGCATATTCGCAACTAGTGCTGGCTGGGTTGCTAACCGGATCATCTACCCGGGTTTTGAGCACGTGGCTCAGTTGTGGGTCAAAACCAAGGGGATCCCATTTTGGGGTAGGCGAATTCACCACCCATTTTAGAATCTATTCTTGTGGTTGGACTGAATCGGATGTTCACAGGGGGATAGCCGGGATTTTGATCTACGGCCAGTTGGCTTCCCATGGAACCCGGAACAGTGAAAAGGGTTCCCTGAAACCTGAGGTACAATCCAAACAAGCTCTTCGTGGTCAGGCGTTGGAAAAAGGACATCGCCTCTCACTTGGCGTCCGTCGGACCCTTCAACACTCAGAAAAACCAAACAAGAAAATGGGTAGCCTCAAAAAGAGAGAGGACAACCCTGAACCGTAAACAATGGCGGTGAATTCTGAACCGCGCAAAACCTCCAAGAAGATTGGGGTCGCCTCAAAAAGAGAGAGGCCCCTTCTCTGAAGCATTCGACCTTTGGATGATGATCCTGAACGCTAAATCCAACCATTGCTTTCAGTTTTCAACTTAAGCTTTTTGGGGCGCGTAGATTTGACGGAGTAAATTATAACGATCTCGCAAACGTGATGTGTTTTTTTCATTTTTGCATTCATGTTTAGGACCCCCCCCCCCCCCATTTTTGGTCATTTCCAGAAAGCCTGCTTGTTTGCATCGGTCCCGAACCTTGTTCAATCCCCAAGCTCTTCATTTCGGGCGTGGGCAGAGGGGACTTAGGGATGTCAAATAAGATTCCGCTGCTTTCAAAGGCAGCGTGTTGACAACCCCCGTGTCAACCTGGTTCATCTTCCTTGGAAGGATCGGACATTGCAGAAGGCCGATTATGAAATCAGGTCTTTGGGCGGGAAATGTCGTCATCCCCGTCCAAGTATTGCAATTTTAATGCTTTAGCGTTTTGTCTTCGTGCCCTTTGAACCACAATCCACACCTGACGTCGAAACACCTGACACCGCGGTTTCCCTCCCACCAATTCACCACCATGGTGAAATCATCGTCACCAACATAACTCACACCGCGGTCCCTTTTCCTGGCGGAACGGTTCGACGTTCGGGGACCTGTGGTTTGGACCATGTTTCTTCTGAAGGGACCGTTGCACTGTTCGGTTGCCAGGGGGCGGGAGGGCACCATTGGGAACCCAAGAAGCCTGCAAACCTTTCCCATGAGTTCCTGTAAGGCAGGGCTGGGGAATGGAATCCACTTCTGTGATACAACAGAAACAGCTTCCCAAAGACTATGTTCTTCATATAAAGGGGGAGTCCCTTGTATCACAGAAGTGGTTGGAGGAACCCCTTGATCCCACAACCCTGCTGTAAGGAAACTCACGAGTCCAATTGAAACATCGGGAACCCTGAGGTGCGATTTGGCTGGTTAAAAATAGGTACCCAAAATGGAAACCCTGGTTGAAGTTTGACCCATACCCATTTGGGTCTCTGACTCCGCGTTGTTTAGGTAAAAACGCACGCACAGACAAACTACAGGGGAAAACGGTGGTCTTGGAAGCGAATGCCAAGGAAGGCGAACGGAATCAACCCGAGACCAACGTGGAACCACACAAAAGTTCAGGAAGCGGCTGAGCAAACTCCTGGCGTTTGGGGAATTCTGCCGAAGTTCCTGTGATAGTCTTGCTGGTGCGATAGGCAGGAAATGAGAACTGGAATGACCCCCTACCATCCAACTGGTGGTTTTCCAGGGTTCATTTCTTTTCACATTCCTAGGTCCTCCAGTAGAGAGGTCAGAATAAGGGTACCCTTTTTCTGAAATGATCTTAGCCAGTCAGTCAGTCGTTTCTTAGGCAAAAGATCTGATCGCTTTGCTGGCTCCGCGGTTCCCCCCGGGTCGCACGGTCAGCGACTTTAGTTCCGCGCCATGTCCGCGCCGTAGACGTTGCTGCGCCCGTTGATGCAGCGCTCGGACCTGGGTCCAAACCATCTGTCGCGGGGAAACAAAGTGTGAGCTTTCACGCAGTGATACATACTTGGGCAAGTCGTTCTTTTGAATGTACACTTTTAGATCTGCTTTTTTAAGAGAGATCAAAGGGAAACCGCCATAGGTGCGGGGGGGGGGGGGTGGTCCCCTAACAAAAGACACATACATATATATATATATAATGCTTTCCTAAGACTTACCCCAAGACCAACTACACAAAACCAGCCATAGGTGCGGCAAACCAACGAGGCCCCTCGATCTTGAACGCCTCAGGTCGGTCCCTTCAGAGTCAGTCTGTGCATGTCAAACTCAGAATCTGGAGGACAGTCAAAGGAACTCCCCCCCCCCCCACACAAAACCAAAAAAAGAAAAAACGTCCTAAAGGGAATCACCCCTGAGCATGGTCCGGATTAATCCGAACAGTTCCCATCTCAAGGCGCAATTGAGACTTGGTCGCCGTGTGGCTCGGGAGGCCTAGCAGCTGGTCCTGGAACATACATGTGTATATATATATATTTACATACATACATATATACATATGTACACATATAGTTTTATACATACTGTACATATATATATATATACATATATCTTCCAGGGGTCAGTCATCGGGAATCAATCCCCAGAGCCAGGAGACAACCCACAGTCACGAAGCAAGAAGGAAGACTTGGGTGACACTGAATGGATTCACGCATGTGCTTGGGATTATTTTCAACAAGCCGGCAGGCTTCGATTCGACTCGTCCCCCCGTTTTTGGTGTTGATTTTGTAGAAGGGGCCACCTCCGTCTCCCTGGCTAAGTGGATGGCCCAAACAAAGTCTAAACTTTATATTTACCACTAAAATGGTCTTCCCAAAAAGTTTAAAGTCCATCAACTCAGGAAGTCAGCCGTATGATGGACACTGAACGGGCCTATTTTGCAACCACCTTCTCTTGGGGGTTTTGGTTCCGTAGGGTTGGCTGCAAAGTGGGCTCCAATCCATGGCACGGACCACCCCCTCCCAACAAAAATCGGCAAGTGAAAAAAGGCAACGCTTCACCCCACCCACCCAACCACTCCACCCCGCCCCACCCCACCCCCGACCCCACCCACCCCACCCCCACCCCACCCCCACCCCACCCCACCCCACCCCACCCCACCCCACCCCACCCCCACCCCATCCTTTGTCATGGCCTCAGAAGCGCCCGCCTTCCGAGAAAATCCAAGCCCCCAGGCTCAGAAAAGCGCACCTGCAAGGTCTGCTTCTCCTGGCTTTGGGCTTTCCTGTCCCTTTGGGTGTCTTGCTCCCTTGCTCCCTTGGTCCTTTCTCCAAAAAAAAAGGATTGCGGTGGTTCCCTTTAGCTGTCCCAGTTGCGAAGTGTTCTTTTTCAGGGGACCCAACAACACTGACGTTCTGTCCGTGTTGGTTCCCAGGAAAAATGGGTACCCCCGGGGAAAAAAAGGGAGAAAAAAAAGTGGAGCTTCCAACAACCACCTCGAGCTTCCAACAACTGTCCAGGCTGAATGACTTCAAAGTAGCCAATCATTCGTTCTGGGGTCTGTCCACACGCTTCAGCTCCATATTAGTGTGCTTTCTCACACCAAAGTGACCTCAGCCCAACCAAATTACCTTCTTTTGGGATTGGGTCCACAGCTCAATTGAGAGGAGATCCCAGTGAAGGGTGGGCAAACGGGATATTCCTAACGGCTGGTTCAACAGTGCTGAAAGACCCCGCAGGGGTACGCAATTGGCTTCGGATGGGAAACCAGCAAAAAACACCACCCATCTCGATGTGTGTGTGTGTGTGTGTGTTTTTTTTTTTTAAACGGCGGTTGGTCAGCTTGAGGCGAAAAGCACATCCTAGTTCCATGTTTCAAAAGCCTGAATCCCAAGATGCAACCTAACCATGAAACCCAGGCTAAGCGGGTCCCACCTTCCAAAGCTTCCTCTAAGAACGGTGCCCTACCCACCACCCCCCCAACACCCCCGACCCCCCCCACCCACCCACCCACCCACCCACCCACCCCACTACCCCCACCCCACTACCCCCACCCCACTACCCCCCCCCCTCCCACCCACCCACCCCACTACCCCCCCCACCCACCCACCCCCCCCCACCCCCCCCCCAACCCCCACACCCCCCCCTTCCTCCACCCAACCGCCGGATCGATCGCTCCGACGGATCGACTTCCCCCGAAAGCTCCTCGTGCGGCTCGCCGCACGTGATGGAGGAGGCGGGTGTGCCCTGAGCTTCGGCAAGCGACATCGACATCACCCGATCCCTGAAACCAGAGTCGTCCTTTTCGGGGAAATAGATGGCCCTGGTAGATGATTACACCACCAGGGAAATCAGGAATCGCCATCCATTTTTCGACCAAAACAATCAAAAAGGACACCTATGCCTGAAACGCGAAGCCGACAACCCAGCAAGGGCAAAAAATCGGGGAAGCGGAAGAGTCCCAAGCTATTCAAAACCCAAAAACGAGTGGGTTGGCCGGAAAAACCAAGTGTTGCAAGACGCTCGGGTTTTGAAGGAGTGTCGGGATGACAACAACGATTTGCCCGCCAGCAAGGTGTCAAGCAGGTTTGAGGATAGCTATGCACCACCGTGTCTCGTGTCTTCTTTTCTCAGGATCGAACTCTTTTTTGATGGTTGTAATTAAATGGAAACAAGCAAAAAACTGCCATTTTGGGGGTTCCCCTTGAAGTCAAGACAGACCCGCTTGGGTCCTTCCGCTCTTCACACTCTCAAGCATTTGGTCGCGTCGGATCTCCTCTGAACCAACCCGCCAGTTTGTGGGGGAAACATTTGCCTCTCTTTTTTGAACAGGGAGATGAAGCCAAAAGACAAGCAGGCGGCGCAAATGGCTCAGTTCACCCCTAGTGTCCTGATTTTGACCCCCCAGAGGCCTGAATGGGCATCTCTTTTCAGAAAATTTGAGAGAGTTGGTTTCCGTCGCCATTCTGGCGCTGGGGCCAAGAGATCAAAACACACAATAGGAACCCAAATCGCTGGGTCAATTTGCCCGTGCCGTCCCTCAACAAAATGGGTATGTGTCAGAATGGGTATGTGTCGGTTGTCGGGAATCAACCGTACCAGTTGAAACAGGCGCAAAAAGTTCAAGTGTCACAGTCCGAACCGACGATTCCTTCTCCCCTCCCCGCATTTGTCACACGCCCGCCCATCTTTGCTGAATCACTTGCTGGAAGTTTGGCAACGGTATTTAAACGGATACTTGGGGCTTGGGGCTTGGTTTCCCTTCCTGCGAGCCAAAAGCCACCAAAGACTTGTTCGGCCCGAAAAATGGGCTAGAAAGCTGTCCAAGGTCCTGCCGCTTGAAATAAAAGCCGAAGCGCCGTAAAGACCCAACTTTGCATAGACGATTGGCACTGGAAAAGGAAAGCAAAAGGACCAAATACCCACTGTACCTGGGTTCACCATGAGCAGTAGACCCACCAAAAACTGTCAGACAATCCTGCTGCCGTTTTGCAGCAACCCTGTACTTTCCCAGCTTTGGTGTTGGCTCACTACCATTTTTGTTCCGTCCCTCAATCATGGAGAAAATTCGCTACTATAACAAATTTCAGCGGCCTTTATCTTCGAGGAGGGGCACAAGGAGGGGGAGGTTTGATTTGTATGACTCGATGAGTTCGACTCCAAAAACCAACTGCAAGTCCCCCGTTGACACCGCTCAACCGCCCGCAGCGCAGGCCTGCAGCTTGTTCTTGGCCAGCACAGCATGGTCATGGCGGTTGAAGACCACGTACTGAGCGCGAAACAGCGGAACCCGCCCAGGTCTTGGCTCATAGCTTGTTGTGGTTCACGTGGCCCCCATTTTGCCAATATCGCCCCGGAAGTGATAGAATAAAGGGAAACCACCAACCAGTTTCTGACCTTGACAACGCCCACAAACAGTCAAGATATTGCATCCAGTACCAGCTCACTTGGAGAAATTGCGTAAAAAGTATCTTGATAAAGGATACGGCATGAACAACTTGGGCACGCCTGGGGGTACCCAATCACCTCTAGACTCTGGACAGGACGTCGATACAACGGAAATTCTGCACAAACCAGTGGCAAAAGGGGCGCGGGTGACTCCAGCAGACGCGGCAGACGTTTGAGGCCTTTTCAAGAGGATGGTGCTTCCCATGTTGGAGCGAGGGTACCAACAAATTCTGCCGGGTCTCGCACGGACGGGCCCAAACCACCCCCAAAAAAACTTTCTCAAGTGGAAGCCCCCTTCCCTCTTGTCCGTGGATTCGCATGGATGCGGGGGAGACCACCCCCACCACCTCCCCAAAACTCCTCTCAAGTGGAGTGCACCTCACAAAAAGGTGCAAATATTTTGCCCCTCAAATGGTCCAAGCCCAAAAAAACAAGTCTAGGAGCACGAGAAAACCCCGACGGTTTTCAGTTGCACCTCCCGGACTTTGGCCTTGTTGGATCTATAGATTCAAGGGTTACCGGTTTGGGGCCCAAAAGGAAACAACAAACCGTCCAAGTGCGCTGCTCGCACATTTTCACGCTTGAACAGCCACACTGCGGATGCAATGGATGTAAAACCCCATATTGACCGATCAAATTCTTCACCCCCCTCTGCGTGTTAAAGGGGCCTTTCACAAAGCAGCCAAACAGTAACACCACAGAGGGAGAAGGTCAGGGGAACCATTGTTACATGCAAACCATGACAGTTGCGCTTTCAGCGCCACTGCCAAGTTGAATAGCTTCCGCTACTGTTATCCCATCCGCTCCAACCGGACCAATTCTGCCAGCTGCCTTGGCTCCAATGCTCACCCTCGCGGGCGGCGGGAGCTCTTGTCTCGGCATAGCGAGCGGCATTGCGAGCAAGGTGTTTGCTGCTCTCGTTCCTCGAAAATTCGATCGAGTTGCGTGCATACCGCTCATTCTGGCTGAAAATCCAGTCCATCTCGTTGCGGAGGTTGTCCAACGTGTTGCTTCGCAGATGGATGATGCCATTCCAACAACCAATGCTGCGAGGCTTGTCTTGCTCAAAGACCACGTTGATAAAAGCTCTAGGACTGTAAGGCATCCCTTGGAACATAATGATCCAGCGAGAGGAAAGCGCATCTTGAAGTTCGTTGGGCAAGAACTCCAACTCTGTCTTGATATACGCGAGCCTTGCGATTCGCGACTCCGAAGTTGATCCAAGGCCAACTCCCAGAGCGCGCTGGGCTTGCGACTGCTTTGGAGCAGCCAAGACGAGATTTGCGCTCAACTCCATGCGGAGCATGTCCGCCTCCCGACGGCCCACCTCAAGCATACGAACCCTGTATTGAAGGTCGAGTTCATAGCGATCAAGCAGAGAGTGATAGCCGTTCTTCAGGGCGGACTTGTGCTTCTTCCGTGCCTCCTGAATAACAGCACTGTCCGGGGAGTTCAAGCCACGAATGATGCTGCTACGATCCTCCTCGCGGAGGTCAAATGTTCCCACGGATGCCAGGACCTGAGCTGTGACATGGGTGCTGAGGCCCATCTTCTTCAGCAAATTGGAACGCTGCACAATGTAATTCTTCTGTTGCTCTTTCAACAGGCGTGGGTTGAGGGGAGACAACTGCCCACATGATGAGCAGTGCACCTGCCCCTCGAAGACACTGTTGTTGCAAACCGGGCACGTGGCGACATTCAGCTCAACGTTCTCCATTGGGTTGAAAGTCTTCTGTCTCTTCGCTTCCCCTTGCGGGGCGCGAGGAGAAGCCACATTTGTGCGGGTTGTAGCAATACGTTCCAGCGCTGTAGAGCGATCATCAACCACGGCTTGGTCGCGCTTCATCCCCTGGGGTTCATCCTCAGTCGCCTCAGCTGGTGCACCTGCATCCGATTGCTCGGAGCGAGTGTACCATACATCGCCATTTGTAGCGTCCAATACAGAAATAATCGTGTAGTTGGGCACCTTGTCGCGCGTAAGGACGCCGTCGCTCTCCGTCTTGAAAAAGCAAAGCCCTGCGCGAATGGCCATCCTGAGGTCGATCTGTATCTCCAGGGGCTTGTTCGCACGTACACCTGAGATGTAATTTTCGTTCGTGCTTGGGACGTCAGCGAAGAAAACGTGAGGTCTGCCTGTCTCGTGCTGGCCCCCTCCTCCTGGAAGCAGTCCGTTCCGCATGATGTTAGCGAAGTTACGCTTATCAGTGCGGTGATAAAGCACCGTAGGAGGGCTGCTGCAAACGTTCCAGCCAGACCAGCGCCCGAGGTCGGTCCCCGGGTTCACGTACCACTCCTTCGCGATGCCGGAGTCGTCGATCTGGAGCCAGTCCTCATGGCCTTGAGAGGCCTTCAGCTTGAAAAGCCAATGAGAACATGGAACGTCTCCGCACCGGCTTGCGTCCGGGCAACCAAGCCCATGAACCTCTGCTTCTTGTCCAGCTTGAAGATGTCCATGATATTCTGCATGTTCCATGGAATGGGATGTCGCAGCTCCTTGCGAAGCGCGAGTCCCAGGTCTTCGAGGTCCATGTAGCCGTCCTCATCCATCACATACCCGCATCCTTCTGTTCCACGACCACGGAGGATCTTGGAGATGCACGTCAGGGAACGATGGTATTCGTCACTGATTCTCCTGACGGAAGGGTCGTAATCAAAGGAGGGCTGCTTGATGATGTCGAGTCTCTTGGGGCCCTCACCGTAGTCGACATACTTCACGCCATCATGAATGCTATACACCCAGCAGTCATAGTGGCCCCCAGTCACGCTCCTCCCGTAGGAGTCGAGTGGTACCGGCCTGCTTGCCTCCTCGTCCCTTTTTGCCACCGCAGCCGCCTTTGCACCGGCTTGCGCCGGGCGAACACTTTCGGAAACATCAGCACCGGAAGGCTCACCTGTAGTTGCAAACTCGGCTGGGTTGACGGGGGCGAAATCGAGGGGCTGCCGGACTTCCACTTCTTCACGGGTGAAAGGGAGCCCGATCATCTCTGACAAAGAAACACCGCACTTCGTTAGCGTCTCCTTGCAGTACGCGAGAACCTCAACGTTGACTGTGCAATCTTCTTGATGGCACCTCGAGCACATCGATCGGACGCATGGTGCAATCATGCGAACGTGTCAGCTCGGCTACGCTGCCCAGTGCGGGGCGCAAGATAGAAAGCATATACAACATGTGATGGGTTCCGCGCATGAACTGGACGGTCTTCATGATGTTGTCGTCACTGAAGCACATATGATACCTGTCCAGCAAATCGATGGTCTCAACAAAGGTGTAGCATCTACGTACACAAACATATGATTGGGGTCACCGATGATGTAATCCCGGACTTCCGTCATGAAACGGTCCCAAATCATAGAGAAGCCGTAGAGATAGCTTTTCGCGCCGGTCATGACTCCAAGGCATGCGCAGCCCTTGCGGGCCGCGAAGTCCCTGGTCCAAGCCAGGTGCCGTTTGGAGTCAGCAAGAAGTTGACCGAACTCGCCGGTGGGGGCATCAAATGGATATGTACCAGTGGGCTCGAGGCCGTCCTTCCCAACGAGCTCGTTGCCATTCCAGTAAATCATCGGAATGATGGTGGCTGCTGGGTAGTCGGTACGCACCTCGTCGATGAGGGCGGCCAACCGCTTGCACAGCCGTTGTAAGCCCTTGCCCCAAAGCATTTCTGACCTCCATGCACCGACACGCGCCGGGCGAGAAGCATCCAAACGCTCCGCAAAGTCATACTTGCGAAGCTTTTTCTTCTTGCCCGAAACCATGGACAGTCCTGAATCAGCGACAGTCACATAGATAAGGAGGTCGCGATCTGGTACACGTGGGGCCTGCACAACCTTCAAGTAAGGTTCGCTTATAGTTCACAGGGGTGTAAGCAACTGCAGGAAGTGCGGCTGGTCCTGCACCCATGTATGGATAAGCGACTGTGCAGAGGTCGTCTCCAGGAGGCCCTTGACCGCGGCGGCGAGGTTAGCGTCGTATTTGCCGTTCGTGCATACCGATGTGGTAGCGACATTCTCCATCCACCTCCTCCATGCCGGATCGCAATCCCTCGCGGGATGCGCCATAGCCGTTGCGCCGCTCATTGCGAAAAAGATGCAGCACAATCACTCGAAAGCAACGGCTGCATGGTGGCATGTTCAGAAAATGCATTGTGAACGGCATCAGTGTAAACGTACGTGTATCCCTCGGCTTCCTTCGAGTGAGTGCCACGGCTTTCATCATGCTCGTGAGAACCATCACACTTGAAGTACTCAACAACGGAAATAGTGGGCATATTACTGGCAACGACCCATTGCTTTTTCATTGGTTTTCCATTTCTCCCTTTAATGCCGATTTTGCAACCATGGAATTCATACTTGTTCATCTTGTACTTAGTCAAGAAACTCCATAGTTCGGGCCATTTCCAATAACGACACGCCTTGGGGAGTTCGAAGGCAACTCTAACGTCATCAGAATAGACATCATTGAGAATGCGTTTGAACCCTCTCAACAGTGATCGGAATTGCTTGATGTGGCCCTCAATCTTGGCGGCACCTTTGGGAGTTTGCTGGTTGACATAACCCCACGGGCAACCTCCAGTGCATGGCAACGAAACATAGAACATGATTGCACCCTTAGGATTCTTGCTCCTGAATTCGGCGATTTCACGGCCTAACCACTGCCTGCACGTATCGGAGCACCCGTCTTCGGCTTCAGTTACCCGAATGACACGGCAACCTTTTGAAGAGTCTCTTGATTCGCCCAACCGTGAGGTCGTCGAACAACAGAATTCAATAAGGAGGCGCTTGGGCTGAACGTTGCATAACGCAGCGATCTGCCCCCCCTGATCA